CAGCTGAGTGCTTCTCCCAGAAAGCATCCCCGACAAATCCACCGACTGATGGGTGGAAGTTTCGAAAGAAGAAGCTTGGGACCGGAAAAGAAGAATCGGAGGCCGGCGCGCTACCCAGGACCTCGATGGTGAAACCGCCGGCCCCATCAACGGTTGCAGATCGGGAGGGAGAAGCCCCCGTCAGGCCTCACGCCATCCTCGCCACCGAGCAATCCGTCGGCATCGCCTCCGGGTCCAGCAAGATAGACTCGACTCCGTCCACCCTCACCCGTGCAAAAACATGGGCGAGCAGGAGCTTCATGCTTCGATCACTGTGGGAAGAGCTCCGCCTCGACGGCGAGCAACAACGCGGGAAGGGGATGCTGGGCCGCGGAGGGGAATCGCCCAGATCGGGAATCGAGGGAGGAGTGCAGCGATCGGTGACCGCCTTCGTCGTGGCGGCGATTTCGAAGGAAGAAGCGAGAGAGGCGCCGCGGTCGCTGTCATCTCCATGCGCCACGACGATGGCCAGGAAGAAGAAGCCGGAGCCGAGGGCGGCGGCGCATACAGATCGTGCGGAGGAGGTCGCGCCCCGAGGCTCGGCGGCGGCGACCGAGGCGGCGAAGGCAGCTGCGGGCGCCGACGCGGGGGAGCGCTCGGCGGCGGAGGTGGCTGCGTTGGCGGACGGCGCGACAGGGAAGAAGAAGACGATGGATGAGGCGGGTGGCGGCTGGGTACCTCATTCCGAGAACCCTAGGTCGCTCACCCGGGGTCGAGTTGGGCTGCAACCGATTCAACCGGGCCAAGCAATGCGGGCCGAGTGGCCTGATGGGATAACTCTCTGGTCAAGGAAGAGAGGAATTGGTGGGCCGGATCTGGTGGGAAAGTGGGGCAACCTAGGGCTTTGGCAAGGCCCAAACGCAGAAGAGACAATGGGCTTCACTATTAGCTGCGGGCCTCATTTTTTAGGGAGCATTGGGCCAACATTAATTGGGCTGACCAGAACTATTTTATGGGTGGACTGGGAGGAAAATGAAGATGGTTTTGCAAGCTTAATTGGTGGGCTTCCAAGAGAACAGGGCCGAAAATTAATTAGAGAGACAACAAAGCAGAGTTATGGGCTTGCTCCAAGAAGGATTTCTCAAGGTCTTGATGAAATGGTATTCAAGGATGAGTTCTTGAACATGAACGAATCCTTGGATTACCCTAGTTACTGGAGGGCCATGATCGCGAAAGAGGAGTTATTGAAGTTTGAGTACTTCGATGAGGCGAGGAATGGGCCATCAGAATTGAAGATCATAACTTTGCCGTTACACCAGGAGATCGAAGAAGGAAGGCCAAGTGAAGAGTTGGCGCATGATTGGAAGAAAAGGAAGCGTAAAAGATGGAGAAGACAAGGCGTGATTTGCACGTACGAAGTGAAGAAGTGGGTTGAATCGATCAACCTTGAGGGCAAGGTTGGTCTCAAGGGGGAGGGGATGATAGAAACCGACTTTTCTGGATTTATCATAATAATTATTATTACTATAATTAGGATATTATTAGATATGGTAGTAGTCATTGAGTCATATTAGGATAGTCTATTAGGTTTTTCGAGTCTTTCGTTATAAATATGTACTCTGGGTCTTTTGTTCAATTAAGCAGAAATCAGTTAAAGAATTATCCTCCCAAACCCTAAGCTTCCCGTATCTCCTAATTTCTCTTCGTCCCAAATCTAAGGCTTCGGCCGATTCTTATTCTGTTCTTCCTCTCCTAATCCCAATCTCAAATCCCTAATTCTGTTCTTAATCCCTAAATCCCCAATTCTCGATAGAACCCTAATCCCAGGTTCTATCAACATCATTGCCTGAAAGATAACTTATGTAGATATGAAGTCATGCCTCCCTCTTCATCACCAACCGACTCCTCCCACCTGTACTCTATTCTCTTTTTTCCTTAAAGTTCAATGTTCTTAAGCCTAGATCTGTATTGTGGATTGTAAAGCTACGGATTTCAGATGCAAAAACAGTTAAAAATCAATGTGATGACTGATGATGATTCAAGTCATAGGAAAAGATGATACTACTGTTTGATCATGGTTTGGACACACATTATTGGTGCACATGTGATTATTGTGCTCTTCGTTTTGTTCGTGCAATCCCAAGGAAAGAAAGAAAGATTGTGAAAGAGGTGGTTCGGTGACTGGTCATCTTGTTCGATCAAGAGGCAGAACATGGAAAAACAACAGGAAGACTTTATAGAGCAACAGACAGCATAATCCATACCCCATAGGTGACATTGTGCAAGTAAGGCGTGAAATGGTCAAACAACCCCTAAACGGCTCATAGGCACACAGCTTTTCTACCTTTGAATGTCTTCTGTTTGCTACTAGAACATCTCGGAACAACCAATAATAGTTCGCCTAGCCAAATAGGGAATGAGGGCAGACTCTCTCAATAATTCCTTGTCTAAAAGCTCTGAATGAGACTTTAGTTACCTAAATGCAGGAAAGATCTCAACTTTCTGATCCTACTATGAAGTTACTCAAAAACCCTGATCGAACTATCAGCATCTACCGAAGAAACTTCAAATCCTTCCAAATGAACACCAGAGTAGGCACGAGACTAAAACAAGAAGAACAGATCAAACAAGCATACCTGCAGATCCAAAATGTTGTAGGCATTTCCAGCATCATCTTGGGTCCAGGGCAAGTCAGGGGTATGTCTCCACTGCCCATCCACGATAAAACGATACTGGTAAACTCCAGAAGGAAGCACCTTCATTATTGTGAAGTCCTTACCGGCTTTCTGCAGCCGAATTCTGATCAACAAAACCAATACACAACAGATTAGACACACAATAGCAATTCACAATGTTCTAAAACCACACAAATTCCACAACCTTGCTTTCCAATTGTCCCATGAACCTTCCACGGCTACATCTTTACCACCGTAGCTCCAAGTAATCATCGTCGGAATCCCTTGCTCGTGGAACGGTTCCTCATAACTAGCAGAACTCTGCATCCACAATTGGTTTGGTAGTTGAGCCTCATCGGGCCTCTGCAACGGCAACACCGGGACCTGAAACAAACAAACAACAAATCTAGATCTACTAAATTGCATGCAAGCAGTTCCACAAAACGCTAAGAACATCCAACCTTATCAAGAAAGAGTGAAAAGAAAAGAATGGAGAAATTTTGACCTGTGGAGTGAACATGAGAGGCGAGTGGCTAGCTCTGGGACTGTGAGGAGGAGAATGGCCCATTAATTCTGGATGCGGTGGCCGGTAAACGCCGCCGCTATGGTGGCTGACATGAGGAACAACCATTACACCACTCCCGCGGCGCCCACCTCGCCGTCCTTGTTCGTCAACCGCATCACAAACCCCGGAGCTACCCAATGCGCCGCCACCATTCCTCCTTTCTTTCTCCTCCTCTCCTCCACCTCCACCGCCACCGCCTTCCCCATCTTCCTCTCTCCCATTCACATTCCCCATGGTAAATTAACTACCACCAAAACTGGAAACACGAACCTAAACAATCCAAAAGTAGACAAAATTCTACCGCACCCAATTGTGAATCATTCACAAAAGATTATTAACCTCCGATTCCGATTCCCACCACCGATAAATTCCAGGGTTCAATCAATCGTTTTTATTACCGAACCCCACTACCTCCGAATCGATTAAAAAAAAATCCAACAGCGACCCGTCAGGCAATCCCGCACAAAGATGCCAAATTTGGGGAAGAAATTGGTGATGGGTAACTAACCATTTGACAAATTTATCATCTTTTTGGGCCGGGCGATATTGGGAGATGACGAGGAGAGTGGAAAGGGAGTGTTTGTGGCCCCCCAGGGAAGATGAATGGCCTGGTGGTGGGTTTGGCGCGAGATGAAATGAGACGGGCTGCGGTGAAGGGAAGGTGTCAGCGGCGAGCTTTACCGGCGTTGGAAGACGACGGCGGCTGGGCGTGGGCCAAAAGGTGAGGGAAGGAAGGTGGGAGATTGTGATTGATGGGAAGTGTGGGGGAGGATGTTTTTGACGGAGGGCGGAGAGGAAAAGCAGAGAGAGGGGAAGAAGAAGAAGTGGGATGGTGGTCACGTCATCATTTGAGAACGTCCGTCCTTCCTAAGTTCCTATGGTGAATTTTTCTTTTTTTACTTTGGTTGCATTTGTATATAGTTTACTTTTTTAGTGATTATATTATTTTGTGTGACGTAAACATCGGAGAGGGATTGACCAGAGTCACATATTTTCAAAATTAATTCATTGTCAGGTCTTAAGAAAGTTATGTATGGATAAGTGATTACTTAATCTTATAGAAAATAAGTTATTTATAGTTAATTATCATAACTGGATTTGCATCTTATGATAGTTCGAGACTTGGTTTGAAATTAAATTGTCTGTTTTCAAATATGATAATTTGATCGTTCTTTGATTTAAGTTTCTTCAAATCCCAAGGTCGATTTCCACAAAAAAATTCACATGGTCAATAATATCTGGTAAAGAATCCCTCACATCACATTTAACTCAATAAGCAAGCAAACAATCAAAATTCAAAATTTTGATAAGGCTAAACGGATAGAGTTTACCTTCAGCCTTGTCGAAATTCTCACTATTAAGATTCTTTAGTTCCAAACAAGCCCAATTCGAAGCTCGCTAAACTGGTTTGACCCAAGCCATCTTCTTTTGTTATCCAAAGCCCAATTAACTTGGCGGGAACAATGCGCTAAAGCGCGGTCAACTGTCAACTGTCAAGTGGCTAAGGCAAACTAGGCAAGGCTAGGCTAAAGCTAACCCTCCGTCTTCCCAAGTCCCCACCACGACAGTTCAGTGCGGGCAATTGATCGAACACTGAGAACGACGACTCAGAAACCTCAAACCAAAGGCCATCTCGACGGCCGAAAATCTCGTGAGTTTCCCTTTCTCTTCATTTGTTTCCTTCCCGTTGGGTGCTGGGCTCCTTTCATTACGATTTACTCTAAGCTTTCTTGCTTCGGATGCAATCTCGTGTTCGCGGTAGGTGGGCCGGTAGTTTCCGTCGCTTATTTGATTCGACCCCCAACAGAGAGACTCTGTAAAGATTTCATCTTGATATCGTGTAAGGCTTATTTGACACCATAGGCTTGAAAAGGGATCTGTCAGTGTCACCGGGAATCAACGTTTGGAATGGATGTCGTTTCTTTCTGATTTTTCTGCTAATGGAATGCAATTTTGATGCTGAACTATGAACTATTTTGATAACTGAATTCGTAAGCCTATCAATCGTGGTGATTCGTTCACCCTGCGCTGAAGCTTATGCTTCTCAAGTGAATTTGCTATCTTCGCTGTAGCTTATGCTTCTCGGGTTGGTTTGTAGTCAATTTGGATTGTTGGATTAGTGGAACATGATTACCTATGAACGTAGGACTCTCCAATGTGCTTGCTATGCGTAGTCGTGATGTTTTCCTCTTGCTGTTAACTGCATACCAAGTTAACCTTAGACCCGAAATGTGCCATTACGCCATGTTAAGTATTATTAGTTGGACTTCTTGGCTTCCTACTAACTCTGTGTATCTGCACTTTGCCGTTCTATGCTTTGACCTTGTGCGTGTGTGCTTACGTGCTTTTGCACTTTTCATCCTCCTGCGTCATATTTGACCTTCCAATGCACTAAGATTCTGCATTTCCTTGCAGAACGGTGTCTCCCTTTTTCACCAATTTCAGGATGCAAATCATTAGGAAGACAATTCTGAGCCACATTAGGCTGAGGGTAATTCCTCAACAATGGTTGCCTTATCAGAGGGCTGCTGTGTTGAAGCAACTGCAAATGCCATATTGTGCTGCTACAGGTGCAATGCCTGAGCAGGTTATGGACCGTGTGATTGGACTGGTTAAGAAGTTCGATAAAATTGATGCCAATAAGGTCGTCTAAACTAATATTTTCTTTCATTTTTCTTTCTCATCATTTCGTGTTGCTTATTATTATCTTCCTCTTTTACAATGTTCTAAACTAGGGGACCCTCTCTTTTGGTTTGACTAATTAGCATATCTTAACTGGGCCAGGTTACTGAAAATGCCGATTTCCAGAAAGATTTATGCCTGGACAGTCTAGATAGGGTGGAGCTTGTGATGGCTTTCGAGGAGGAGTTCGTTATTGAGATCCCCGATGAAGATGCCAACAAACTCTGTTGCTGTGCTGATGTTGCCAAATACATATCTTCTGGCAACAGTGAATAAAGAGTTCCCAGCTTGCAATCGGTTCGTAATTTCGCCCCTTTGTTCTTGTATGCTGTATCTTCTAGTCTTATGACTATGTGTTAACCATCCGCGGAATATAATAAGGTCAGGAATATAAGATTCATATGATCATCAGTGTTATTTCCACCCTCAATCATATAGCAAACACTCAATATTTACATGCCAATCGCATCTATGTTCCCTATATTGTGCATCTTACAAACTTTCCAGACAATGAAAAATGGAAATCAAGTCCTTTGAAATCCAAGCTGTGACTAGTAGCGCCATCACAAGGAATCCAAAAGGTCTGCCATGCCATCATCTACATTGTGATCTCTGTTTCAATGTTATGTCTGGTCTTAGAACATGCTTGCAGAGGTTTAGAAGCTGAATGCAGGAACTCTATCTTGCCAGTAGAGTAATTTCGGATGCCATTGCCAACAGAGGACAACTCCAAGGCCTTGTGTTTCTGGACATAAGCTGGTCTGCAAGTCGATGTCTTTGGCATCCTCAAAACCTTAACACAACATGTCTTGTCCATTGCAGGTATGCCATGGAGCTCCGAAGGAAGATCGATCGTGAAGTCTCCGAATTCGTCTGTCACGGTTTGTACAGAAGTTGATCTCCTTTGGTTCCCTCTGCTTAGGCAGTTGACAGCCACCAAAGCACCTGCAGAAATGATGAATTGATGTTTGAATTAAATTGAAGATGAAATGTGGCATTATCATTGGTAATGACTGCATTTTTTATTTATTTCATTCAATAGGGGGTGAATTGAAATCGATTAGTGATGTTAACTAAAGTCATCATTTATGTGCTAATGCGAATTTACTTCTGTAATATTCTATCAAGGAAATAGATCTTTGAGCAAATTTATGGTGAGAGGTAGCTGTGTTTAATGTTGATGTGGCCTTTTTGTCTTAAAGCTGAGAATTCATCTTGAACCCAAAGGAATTGACCATCAAAATTATATGCAGCCTTGCATTATGAGGTGACATCAGATTGTGGTCATATCTTTGATTCGACTCTAAATTGTAAATTCTGCTTGAGAATGATGACATTTATAATTGTGTCGAACTAGAGTATAACATTCAAACTTTAAGATAAAATCTAAATTAAGTTTGAAAATGATAACATTTATAATTGCGTCGAACTAAAGTACCATTGACAACCATGGAAGAATAAGTCTCTCCTAACAAGAGTATTCTTCTTCTAACTTGTTGTCTAATATTAACATAGAAAAGAATGTGTTTTATTTATTTATTTATTTGGTCATCTCTTTTGGTAGGTAAGAAAATAAGAGATGTTGTATCAATTTGGTAATGCTTTAGAGCTACCTATTAATCTACCCAAGCTTATATTGCAAACTTCTTTTCTTTTTCTTTCATTGCTTCAAACGACAAGTTCTTAATATGCAAGTCACAAAGAGGTCCCAAATATTTCATAAGAGAAAGGGAAGAGATATGTCGTTCATAAGCCACAACGACATGCATCCTACTATTGTGTTGACACTTCAAAATATTTTTAATGTTAAATAGAATTCAAAATACACTTTAGTCCCTCCTTCAAAAATATATATATATATATACACTTTAGTCCCGACCATAGCTTCACCGATTAAACGAAGATGACATATTACTTGTGAACCGAGTAACTTAATGATATAAAGTTTATATGTGCACAAGAAATTGCTTACATTTTCTTTACACGTTTGTTTCTTCTGCTCATTGCACTTTTCTTGCGTTGCAAGAGATAACCCAATTGTGGTGCAAGACATAATAGCTAACAAAAGGAGCTTAAGCAAATTATGGGGTGTGGTTTGTTTGGGTTGTTGTTTAATTTTAGTATACAATATATATGCTTGAAAGTACCTATTCATGTATGTGACTTAATTACCACCCACAACCTATCTCTCCATCTCTCACTACTTCTCTTTGTTCATAAGTCCAATATATCCTAATTAAGTACCTCATCAAACCATGATTTTATGCCCCAAATCTTGGGAGCCGTTAATGCATCTAACCACACATAAATTCATTATGGTCAGACGCCGCTATATCAACTTTCACCCTGCCCAAATAAGAAAAACGAGCCCCAATTATTCGTAATTTGAGTCGAAGAGGGGTGTAGGACAAATCTTTGTTACTATGGCCCCTCTATCTCTTAGCAATGCGAGGCAGGTAACCTAAATGATGAGAATAATGCGTGCAATTGGACTAGTACTGAACATGCGATTTTCGGTTATTTGCTCTCTAAATGGATAAAAGAAGAACGAGGAGGAGGAGGAGGATTGAAATACTCGCGAACAGGCTAAACCGTACCTGGAATGGGCCATTCATGGAGCTGATGATCAAGGGAAGATGAAAAAGAAGATGGTGGTGGTGGTGAGCAAGCGTGACAAACGAGAGAGCCGGTGACCAAAACGGTTGAGAGCTTCTCTTCCCCGTAACCAGCCAACTGCACCATTTCTTCCCTGCTAGCAGAGGGTATTATAACTGCCGTTGTGGTATCACTATTATTATCATTGTCTCCGGCGGCTGTCATGGTGGCCGGAGAAGTTAGGAGGAAGAAGAAGAGAAGAAGAAGGTGGTGGTGGCAACTGCGGCCGCTGGAGTAGCTCATCTTCTTTGTGTGTGTGTGTGTGTTCTTCTGTTTCGTGAGGAGTTAGAACTTGCAAGAAGTGGTATTTATATAAACACTGAGAGAGAGGAGAAAGAAGGAAAGGTGTACGGTTAAGACTTACGACCAACAACTTACAAGTTTTCTTTAATTAATTTAGTGGGGGGTTCTTGTATTTGTGTTCTAATTGCCCTTTTGTTTTGGGGTTCTATTACCATTTTGTCCACTTTGGTCATATGATCATATTATAATGACCAGGAGAAATTTTAAACATAGTCTTAAAGATGATTTTGACTCGGGATATTGACCTGTTTTTATCATAGCGGGTAATTTAATTATGCATTTTAGTTCTTACGTGTTGATTTATGAAGATTGTTTTAAATCGATCGGTTGTGAATCAAAGAAACTATATTAAGCTCGATGAAATCCTATATTATTATGACATGTTCAGTAGTACTAATGGATGATTTGAATCGTATACGCCCACTTAAATTTCTCTGTCCTCCCTATAATTCATGACGGTTTGAGAACTCATCGTCTACAGAGTTAAATACTTATACGATTTTTAAATGGCGCACACCAGAATTACATATTTATCTCGTACGTGGCTCGATATGTATTAACATGCACTGTGTGTATTTAGAATGGCAATGTTACATCATGTACCCAAGAAATAAAAAATAGAAGGATACAATTACTAATACTATGTACATGTATGGCGACTCATCAAGTCTCCTTCTGGCACGATTGTTGGATCCCGGGGATTGTGCTGTCTGCTTCGTTTCCGCGCGTCGCTGCTGCTGTCCTTGATCCTGAAGCCCGGCTTTCTGACGTTGCAAATACCCAGGGTGAGTTGGTGAGTTGGAATTTCGATTTCAAGTATCATTTGAGGGGGGGGGGGGGGGCAGCGAGGGAGAGGGATAATCTGTTAAATATGTTAAACTCTGTGAATTTGGCTCTTTCTTCCCATAGTCCTTGCAGGGTACTCTGGAAACAAGAGGCTAACTCCAAGTTCTCAGTGAAATCTCTGTATACGGAGCTGGTCGGCAGTCACTCGAGAGAGATTGAAGAGTTCCCTGCGAAGATTGTGTGGATTCCGTGGATTCCGAGTAAAATCTGCTTCTTCACTTGGCTCGTTTACCACAATAGAGTGCTATCACTCGACAACCTTAAGAGAAGAGGCCTGTACTTGGCTAACAGATGTGTTTTGTGTAAGAAAGATGAGGAGAGTGTTCAGCACTTGCTTGTGGATTGTGATTTTGTTAGGAGAATCTGGATTTTGATGTATGGCAGGAGAAGCAGAACACCGAGCTTGAATGGGGCGATCGCCCATGTTTTAGCAAATTGGGTTTCAGCAGATGGAGACGGAATTGAGAAGTGGTTCGATGTTTGTATTCTACACTCCGTCTGGTGGGCTGTGTGGCTCGAGAGGAATCAGCGGACATTCGAAGACAAAGATACCTGCTTGTTGGTGGTGGGAAAAAGGGCAGCGAGGAAGGCAATCGAATGGATCGTGGTACAGGGAAAGACGCAGAAAGCAGAGGGGAGGAGATGGCTGGTTGAAAAAGGTTTAGTCTAATTACTGAGCTGGAAGGTTTCAGTTGCTGTTGATTTCCCGTGTTTACAGCTTGCTGCTTCTGGGTTTGGCATGGTTCGATGCGGGCGTGAGATGGAATTTGTTTGCTGCGTGAGGTCTTGGATGGCGGCCTTGTGGATCGTGGTGGGCGTGATGTTTTGTCGTCCTCAGGCAGCTTGGTTTGTAGGTGGTCTCCTGTGTTTGGGGGATATGTGGAGTTGGTGCTGTGGCTTGTGTGCGGTTGTCCGCCCCTGCTGGGGCTTTTGTGTAAGTCTGGGAGACGCTGTTTTGTTCCGGCCTGGATGCCTCCCATTTCTGGCCTTGACGTTTTTTCTTCTTCCTTTCTTTTTGTGTTTTTAGTTTTAGCCTTTCCCCCTGGATCATTTCTCTTGATCCGGTTTTTCTTTGTGTACAGTTGTTTATCTTTGGTTAATAAAATTTCACCATTATCAAAAAAAAAAATTATGTATATCACTATGATTATTAATTAGAATATATTGATCATTCATCTTAATAGCCTGATGGTGGTGGTAGGTGCACGTGGAAGGAAGGGGTATGGCTTGGTGTTGTCCACCAAAACAAGGGCCAAAATAGGTAATTAACTTGGTAATCAAGAACATAAAGAACTTGAGAGTGGGGAGTTAAATGTTGGTAGGTTGCCTACTTTTTCATAACATTCTACTAATATGGCTTCTCAATTTTCGTCCATGGAGTCGATTGACATAACAATAATATTTAAGAACAAAGATTTTGATCTAGCAATTTGAAAGTCTCAGATACGTATAATTTTACTTTTCGATATTAACCTATGATTGTATTTGATTTTGACTTACGACAAAATGAAATGACAAGCAATTAAAACTTATCCATCATGAATACCTCTAGCACCATCAAACATCAATAGCATCTTTACCAAATGCTTGACCCCCAAATCTTTGGCACTTCTCCAATACCCTTTGCTTTGTTGAGGGAATGAGGTTTGACTATACTTTTTGACCCCTCAAAGGTTGACGAGTTGCCAATTTCAACTCCAAATGGCTTCTTGCTCTTCTTTCTTGGATGATATGATTAGATGCGACCGGTAAAACTAACCCTTTAAATTTAGGTCCAATTGACCCAAAAGATAATGAGCAAACTAACACAAGCCATAATGTCATCAATGGTATAATGAAGAATCAATGGAAAGTTAAAAAGATTAGGTGAACCAAAGTTATCAACATGGTACAGTATACTTGAAATGTTGGTCAAGACTTCACCAAAAAGCGATCTCATGTCTTGGTGTTCTTTCGGGTTTCCTCTCGAAAATAAAAGACTTTACGGTATGAGAAGAGCCATCGAGAAAATAACGAAGCACTTGATATGGGAGGGTTGGCGGCTTAAATGGATACCACACTTTTAAGCTCTTCAGTCTGGTAAAAGGAGAGACTTGTAGCCCCGCCAGCAACTCTGTGCTGCTGATAAGAGGAAACTCGTGTTGTTCCCAACGCCCTTGATTCTTCGTCACCTACTTATCAAGGAAATCAAACAAACATCAGATTCAGAAAAACTGAAGTATTAGCTAGACACTCATGACTCGCGTATACATATTTATATACTGATGAGCTGCTGGTTAGCAGTTCAAACAGTCTCCCATGGTGATTCAGTAGCCACTGGAGCAGTTATGTACATAGTCTGTGATCTTGTTGTATTGTAGTTATCAAATATCATTTACATATATGAATGTATGGCTGCCATTATCATATTCATAGGTGAACATTTGCATACCTTGTCAAAGCGTAAGTTGAGAGATTCAACATTATGCAGTTGAGGCAGCAGCTTCACACAAGCTCGATTAGTAGCTTCCATCTGCTTGATCCGGACTCGGATACTGGCATGGTCGAGAGAAGGAAGGTTCAACTGGCCGAGCTGCTCCACATAACCCCAAAAGCAGAAAGATTTCAGCTTTGGAGCAAAGACTTCAACTTTCTCAAGGCTATCTGGTGGGTATTGAATTTGGAGGTCGAGCAGCTCGGATCCAGACACTCTCAATAAGCTTGACGACCATGGATTGCAATCGAGTAGTTTGAGGTGTTTTAAACAAGGGAGATCAACGAAAGGCTCTACAGGGTGATACAGATGGCAGTCTTTTAGTTCCAGATTCGTGAGAAGATTGAAGCCAGAGAAAGGTGTTGCACCAGAACCACCAAACGTCAGAGTGCATAACTTCAAATTTAGAGTCTTGAGAGACTCATGATGATGATGAGCCTTAATGGAGGCAGCGGAGTCCACCAAGTCTGGACAACAGCTCGTTGTAGACAGGCAAATGGACAAGTGGTGAAGACTACGACGAGGACCTTGCGACGCAGCATGTTTCATGACCCTATCGAACAGGTCTAGAAAACACGATTTCGAGTCCTTACCTTTCCAACTCCAATCTTTGAAGGTAACGCTGGAGACGGCTGCAGAGTCGTTGGATCGAAGCGACAGGAACTTGAGTACATGTTGTTCAAAGCTTGACATGCTTCTGAAGTAGTTGCACCTGAAATAGAGAGCAGGAACTTGTTTCCACATGCATCCCCACCTCCTAGACAGGAGGCCGGTCCGAAAGAGGGATTTCGTGTCGAGGAACGATAGAATGTGATGCAGAATGCTGTCGGGGAGATCGCTCAACCTGTCGAAACCAACAACAACATCATCGTCGCCACGGTTCGTAATCTTGGGGGCTTTCGTCAACCCTTTCGAGTTCCCCTCTGCCATATCAATTCGCTCTGCCTCTCTTCTCTTCCAAGCTAATTAAACTTAGCTATACCCCGCGAAACTACAGTAGAAGAAAGTTTCATCCAAAGCGTTGAAATTTCTGTTACAGCGGAGGCAATCGACAAATCAAGAATAAAAACGAACTGTGATTCACAAAGTGTGCTAACAGATTCAAGGCATTCGAACGAAATCCTAATGCATCTAGAATAAACAGTAGCTGCAAATCATGGAGTATTGGAGTAGGAAATCAGACGACCAGCAGCAATACCTGGTTGGTTTCGGCTGATTCCGGTTGAAATCAATCTAAAAGACGAATAATCTTTCTCCAGCAACTCTACAGTGGATTGATTTTTGTTCGCTCAAACCCTAGCCAAAATTGGGGGAAAATTCCTAACAGAAGGGCGATGTTATGATTTACCACAGTTTGGCTTGAGCGAGTGGCGCGGGAAAGTAGTAGTTAGGGCTTGGGACTTGGGAGTCCTTTTCTTGGCGGGAAAGGTAAAGTTAGCGGTTCAATTACATGAATGGTCATCGTACTTTGTGATTTGAAACAAAATCAGTCACGTAATTTTGATTTTCAACAAATTTATCATTTACAGTTTTGAATAACTTCATTAAGATTTTCCGCATTAATGTGTCAACATGCATAATTTTGTATTCATAAAAAAATGACCACATACATTAATTATGCAGAAGAAATATTACATGATATATCTAATTAGCTTATATGGATGGCTCATTTTGATTATACTAAAAATTGTACCTTGTGTTGTTCTTCGCCTTTCATTCTGACAATAAATGAAATTCTAATCAATTGCGTAGAGGTTTAGTTTGTAGTAACTGTGGTTGAGATGGATTTACATGTACTATTTTTAATGAAATAATGTTGAAATATATGATATTTAAATCGATAGGATTATTAGTCTTGTAGTTGGGATGGATGATCTTTACTAAAGGAGTTATCGTATGTTTTCTCTTTCCGAAGATGGAAGTGGCCAAAAGAGAATCAATGAGCAAATAACACAAGGGATGTCATTAATGCTCAAATGAAAGAATTATAATGGAAACGTTCAAATTAAGTGAAGAAAAAGTCATCAACATTGTATCAAAGCTCGACATTTCACTGCAACCGACTCCATGTCTCATTATTCATTTGAGCCTCGTTTGAAAGATAACGGACTTTCTCATGGCATAAGGAGAGCCTTCAAGAAAATAACGAATCACTTGATATGGTACGGTTGGCGGCTTATACGGATACCACACTCTTAATCTCTTCAGTCTCGTAAAAGGAGAAGCTTCTAGCTTGCCAAACTTCATACGGCTGATAAGTGATAAGAGGAAACTCGTGTTGTTCCCAACGCGCCTGATTCTTCGACATCTGATTGCAAGGAACAAAATATGTCAGATTCAACACTGAAGATAGCAGCTCACACAATCACATATCCTCACATTCTTTGAATATATTCAATAAGGTTGCCATCAACATACGTAAACATAGATACATACCTTGTCAAATTGTAAGTTGAGAGATTCAACATTATGCAGTTGAGGCAACAGCTTCAGACAAGCTCGATTAGTAGCTTGGATCCGCTGCTGCTTGATCCGGACTCGGATATCAGCATGGTCGAGAGAAGGAAGGTTCAACTGACCGAGCTGCTCCAGATAGCCCCTAAAGCAGAAAGATTTCAGCTTTGGAGCACACACTTCATATTTCTGTTACCTATCAATTATTGGCCTATCAGTTTGGCAGTGGCTATCAACTGGTTGGTGAATTTGGAGGTCTGTCAACTCGGGTCCTGACACCTTCAACAAGTGAGACGCACAACAGTAGCGACCAACTAGTTTGAGGTGTTTCAAACAAGGGAGATCAATGAAAGGCTCGTTGGACACAGGAAAATCCAGCCAACAGTCGTCCAGTTCCAGATTTGTTAGAAGATTGAAGCCAGAGAATACTGTTGCACCAGAACCACCACCACCACCCAACTCCAGAATAAATGACTTCAGATTGAGAGTCTTGAGAGACTGATGATGATGATGAGCCTTAATGGAGGCAGCCAATTGATCGAAGGGCCAACTTTCCTTAGGGGAATGGCTCATGGACAAGTGTTGAAGACTACCATGGGAGGCCGCATATTTCATGACCCTATCGAACAGGCTTATATAGTTCGGTCTCACATCCTTTCGAGCTGTCAAAGTCCAAGCTTTGAAGTTAACGCTGGTGACTGCTGCAGAGTCGGATCGAAAAGACAGATACTTGATCACATGTTCTTCAAAGCTTGACAAGCTGGTGAAGGAGTTACAGCTGATATTGAGAACAGGAACTTCTTTCCACAAGCATCCCAACCTCTTAGAGAGGGAGCAGATTTGAACGAGGGATTTCGTATCGAGAGCTGACAGAATGTGAGGCAAGATGTCGTCAGGGAGATCGCTCAGCCTGTCGGCTCCTTTGAAACTTGAAACATCACTATGGCTCGTAATCTTGGGGGTTTTCTTCGACCCTTTCGAGTTCCCTCCTGCCATATCAATTCGCTCTTGCCTATCTTCTCCTTCAAGCAAATTAAGCTAAGCTGCACAGAAAAACCAGTAGAAGAAAGTTTCATCCAAGGCACAGAAATTCTGCAATGATCAAGACAATTGAGTAATTCAAGAACACCAACGCAAAGTGTGCTAACAGATTCAAGGTATTTCAATGAAACCTAGTGCCTCTTCTACAATCAGTACCAGCAAGGCATAGAGAAGGAAAACCCCGCATGTTCGGCGGATTTCAATTACCTGGTTGGTTTGGCCGGATTACGATTGAACTTGAATCAAAGGAATTCGTTTTTCAGCAGCGGATTGATGTTCGTCTCCCGAAACCCTTAGGGGGAATTCCTGCAGAAGAGCGATGTTATAAAATCGCAGCTTAGATTGGGGGAGGCGCGCGTAAAATAGTAGTTAGGTGCCGTGGCGGGTAAGGTACCGTTGGGGGTCAATTACATAAATGGACCGTGAACTTTTTTTTATTACAAACAAATCCATCATTTTAAGTAACTTAACTTTGCGTTACATAAATTAGCATTGTAATTAGCAAACATGTACGAATCATTTCGACTTGTATCCGAAAATCATTCTTTGTCTCTTCCATCATTTTCGAAACAGACTTTCAATAACGACTTGTAAGGATCATGTGCCGATAACTATGGCTTTTGCTGTATTAATCCATTAGTTTGAGCAACGGAACTGTATATAACAACTTAACAAGCATTTGTTCCACTATCACAGCATAGCAAAAACAGTTGACAGGTGGAAGGAAAAAAGAACGCATTTCCTTCCCGCTTAAAAGAAACCAAAAACACTTCCTCTGGTGAGCCAACGCCTCTCAAGCGGCTGATTTTTCCAATCTACTCAGAGGCCTCCTCATCATCTTCTTGCTCTTCATCTACATCCTCGTCATCATCGTCGTCGTCTTCGTCATCTTCATGACCACCTTGATTCTTCTGATTCTCTTTTCCAGGTGTTTTCTTGTCGTTGGCAGTTCCTGAACAAATTAGATTATAGACAGGAAGATGTCATGGATGATGGCAACTGATTCGAGGCTTTCAAGAAGCACTTTCAACAATAACACAAGAGACGTGACCGGTTCATATATTAAGGTTCTACAGATAACATTCAGAGTAACGGCACAGCTGAGCTTATAAGGATGATTATACCACGACGGGCATGGTTAGTTCTAATTCGTGAATGGAAGACTCGGATGAGCATTGAGCAAGGAGTAGACATTTCTCATGAATGAGTTATTCAGTCAGAAATAAACAAGAGATTGTTTTAAACCAAGTATCCCATGTATGGAAGACTCGGATAGCCTAGAATAATTCTCCAGGATCAGGAGAATGCGAAAATTGATTTCCTAGAATGATCAACCCTTAAAATATTTGGTAAAATATTGTTTGAAATATGAGATAGGTACCGTATTCGCTGAAGATGACAGTTCCAGAGCACAAGCCCTCCTCCACTCTGAGGAGCTGAAGGGTCATCCTCGGGCCAATCTCTTGAAGCTTGACAGCACTTTTCGAAGTCGCCCGATTGACTCGACCAAGATCACAAGGAAGGGTAACAGTTGCTGCTTCCTCATCTCCTTCACTTTCTGATCCATAACCAGCCCTTCAAGCACAAACAAAAGAACAATAAGCCAAACCAGAACAATCAAGAGAATGAATGCCCAGGACCTAGTACAGTAATGTCAGCATGAACCCCTAGCATCAGACAGACAACCTTCAGTGGGTACTACAGACACACAACACGAACACTGAAGAGTATGTTAAGATACTTCAACAAGGGCCTTACTTTGTTATGAAGTCACTCACGTCCTGGAGACTCCGGAGATCAGGAACTTGATGATTCTGCACAAACTTTCTGATCCGGCGGGAGACACCCACAGGTTGGAGTCGAATAGAGTAATGCCTAAAGTCAATGAGCTTTGTATCTTTATTATAGTTGAGTAGAACGATTCTTTGGCAAGAAGAGAGCTTTACCTGGAAACATTCAGCAAAGATGGTAAGCAAGAAGGTAAATAAGTTGATTTAGATATTTAACTTGGGTAAGATGAGTTCTCACAGTGTTGATGTCAATAGCTGGAAACATATTCTGAAACATTATAGTTGTCAGTTTTAAATGTTGTTCTCCAGACCCAAAGCCAGAAAGAACAATCTGCCAGAAAAGCATAAAGAATTTCAGTCTGATATATACAGCTGACGCCCATAACCAAAACATAGAGAAGCAAAAGGTTCGGATGCATCTGAAAGCTGACCAAACTAAATACATACCAAAGGAGGATTCTTGTACAGGTCCGGTGGACATCTAGGGCGCAATTGAGACTGAGTAATATCAGATGCCAGTGAATACTGGTTGATCTTAAATGTAACTGTCGGTCCTTGTGGAGTTCTAGCAACCTTCATATATGGCGCTGCATCTGTTTTGGACAACATCAGAAAATGTGTAACACCCATCGGACCAGCAACATTTAAGAAGTCCCTGAGATTGTTCCTCTTCTTCTCCTGCAAACGAAACAAGCCATTATTACCTCGAGGGAACTACATGGAACAACACCATCTACAACAATAAAATAGGTATTGAGATTACCTTCAGATTAAGAGCTGTAAATGGCAGCATTAACTTTCTCAAATCCATCTGAAGCTGCCTCAGAGAACCGGGCAACTTCCCTCTGGAAAAGACGAAGCTCTTGGGAATCTTGTCGCCAGTGACATGATCCACGGTAGGTGCTGCCTTCTTTTTCACACTCGGCTTGGAGAACACCTTCCTGTTCTTCTGTTTTTAATCAAATCAGCAAGATATTAGCTGCTACACTAAAAAAAAAGCATCAAAACTCAGGAAAGAAATCAACTGAGTTGTTAACATAAAAATTGCTTACATTTCGTAGACGAGCCATCTCTGCCTTCTTAACCGCCTACAACCCGTCTCGATAAAACTTACAAGACGAAGACTTTGAACTTTTCTAAGCAAAGTTTGCAACAATTGAATAGGAGAATGAGCAAGAACTAGTGTTTGACGGCGAAGACAGTCGGAAGAGCAACGGTGGCAGAACCGTGCAGATAGCAAGCTTCCTCGTCTACCTTAAAACTCCTTCAAGACCCTATCTTCTCTTCAAATCGAAGCTTCGTTCCCTTCCTTCTGAAATGGCGAATCGCTCTCCTCAACCTGCAATCACAGAAATCCTCGTTTCCCCCCTCAAGCCGCCTCTTAGTTCTCGTCTACCAGGTAGCTCCACGGCTTGCTTCCCTTTGATTCTCTTCAAATGGCCGGCGGCAGGCGTCGACCTTGAGCCGTATGAACTATGAAGTAGGTCGTTCTTCCACGGGCCTTCTGTTCTCAAGTTTTAAGGCAGCAAAATCCTCGCAAAACCCTGAAACACAAAAGCAAAAAAGCAGAAATAGTACTCGAACTGTCCAAACGGCGCCGCATACTGCAATCAGCGAAACATAATTACAGAATGGTCCTTGAACTTTGTGATTAGAAGCAAAATCGGTCACTTAATATTCATTTTTAAGAAATTTGATAAATTAAAGTTTGGCATAACTAATATATTAAAATTAATAATCATACAATTCAATTTTTCCACCCTTTTTCTTGATGTGTTGACTTACATACATTTGTGATAATTACTTATATTCGATAGAAAAAATATTGCATGATCTTAATTGATGAATATGGAAGACTAATTTTAACTATACCGACTCAAATAGCACCTCGTTATTTCCTTATCTCTCATTTATATAATAATTTTGTTCGTTGAAATTCTAACTAACCACCTAGAAGTTCAATTTGTAGGAAATTTACTTGGTCGAGATGGAACTTGTATGCAAGGTTGTGGGTGAAAGAATCTTGATGAAAGACTAGAATTTAGATTATGGAATCATCAAAATGCTGTTGTTTTTATAGATAATTTTAGAAAAATAATTGCATTAGTTTTGTCTTTCCAACGTTGGAATTTGCGGAACTTACCTCTTGTTTCCCTTATTTCTCGATTATGCCTATTGAGATAGTAAATTAGTGAATATTTGTGAAATTGTAAACAATTGCGTACGAGACTCCCCCTTCCTCATTTGAAGGGGAGTGACTAGCACAAATCACAGCGATAGAAGAAAGAGTTTTGAAATACTTTTTCAGTAAGTCACTCATACTTATATCCTTTCTAAACACCGTTAATGAATAGGTTAGTTACCGTGTTCGGTATGTACAGAGAAAGTATGGAACAATTTCAGAGATAAAAGTCAGCGTTTAATAAAGTATTAGTGAATATTGGTGAAGTTGTAAACAATTGTGTATCAGTGAAAATTGTTGAAGTTGTAAACAATTACTTACAAAGGAATTAATGCTCAGCTACATCTTTATTATCCATTGGCCTATTAGCTCAGCTGGTTAGAGCGTCGTGCTAATAACGCGAAGGTCACAGGTTCGAGATCCTGTATGGGCCATTTTTTTTCATTTTAAACGGAATCTAACCATCAATAAGCAGCAACCTTACAAACTAAAATGCAAATTTTCTTTTCCATCTTCCTTCACTAACCTGCAATGATCCTGAAAAGTGAAAACTATAATGACATAATCCTCTCCCCTCTGCCTGCTTCAAACTAGAATGAAATTAACTTATTGCGAAATGAATAACTCTCAATCAACAAGCAATACTGCATCTTCTATAAAGTAGAACCACTAAAGTTTGACATCTTTCTTCCTTCTCAAAGGACTCCTCAGTACTACCTTCTCAAGCCTTGTGCATTCTGGTACACACAGCCCATTTGACCACCAGAAGAAGTGGGGATCGCGGAGAACCCAGTGTAGTCCCCGTCAACCTTTGCCAAACATATGTCACTGATGTGCTTCACAAATCCAGTATTTTGTACGAATGGCTGAGCCACATATTCGTCCCAGGGCATCCACTGCAATGCAAATTTTATGAGCAAATATTGTAAGAGAGAAGACTTAAACTGGTTGTCCATGGAGTAATATTGGTGAAAAGGTTTTACCTTTGCTGCCTCTATCTCTGCTTCCTGCCTCTGGACGTCAAAAGAGATGGGCCGCAGCATACACAGGAAGAACAAATCCGACTTCTCGAAGTATGCCTTGTGAGATTGCCTGAAGATGAGAAGAATGGATGGGAATCAAGAGAGTTTAAGATTAATTGCACTAAAAAAAATTATGTAGCAGAAGAACAAATGGTTAACAAAGCACCTGAAAGCCAAAATCTCCATGAATTCTGCGTCGATCTGGTAAGAGGTCAAGCAACGTGAGAAAACCAAGATTTAAATCATAATAGACTTCAGGGAAAAGGAAAAGTAAACAGATTTGCTCAACAAGACTTACAGCTGTTTCCTCTTTGACTTCCCTTACAACAGCTGTGCAGAGGTCCTCTCCCTAAAGATGATAAAACTATTCAGACTTAATCCTGAGAATTGCCAGAGAAATGATTATTGCAGCATAATGAACATACCTCTTCAACAACGCCAGTAGGGAACTTCCAGATTCCTGTTCCTCGAAATACTCCACTGTTCTCTTGGACTACTAGCACCTGCGCTAACAAAGTTTGAGATTTGTTTGTGATCCCAAGATGTGATAAGGGATATGCATTAATCTTTCAAAGGTTATTTATTTCAAAACCTCTCATGCATAAGCAGGAACTTATCTTAACTGGAATAAAACCATAATGACAATGAACATTCAGTCTAAGAAACTAAGGATTGAGCTTGTTCACAGTCTAGGAAGATTTTTCTTTCAACACTTAACCAAAAAGACAGCTCTTTATGGCAATCATACTGTCAATGTATCAATGAGAAAACAAAAAGGACAGTTAGCTGATAGACAAGGTTTATGAAACTACCTCTCTATTCTCATTCATCACAAATGCACCTACGCTGACTCTATGGCTGGCATTTGGTGGAAGAGGGTGAACACCTCCAGGGAGCCAACTGACAAGCATCAAGTATGTTGGCTCTGCATGATGGTACCAGAATCCTTCCTGCTCATTGAACAACAGATTCTCGGTTAGTAATCCATAAAGCATATCCAGGACAACTTCTACTACTCTATTATATCGCAACTTTTCAGTCATTATGACGGGATCATGGAATGATATCCAGTTTACCCTTACTGCAACTTCAACAAGACTGCAAAGTTCAATTGGAAGTTTGATCCATACCCCCTTCTTACCCTGCACCACAAGTTCAAAACTTTGTCTTCAATCACACAATTCACATCTGATATTCATGCTCCCTCTATGAGACAATCTGAAATCTACGCAAGGAAGCAGATCAGAATTGGCAACAGAAAAAAGTTACCAGCTTTCTCCATTCGCTAATCGAAAGTCTGAGCATTGAAGCAAAGAGCCCTGGGTCAATGGGTTCAGACAGCTCCACTATGACTCCTCCGTGTTGATCATTAACTGAAGTGAGCAGCTTGACCTGTTCCAACGCAGCAACCACTTGCTCCATCGCAACTGGTGGATTCACAGAGTTTGACAAACACCTGACGTTGGTTGAAACTGTAGGCCTAAAGTTAAACAACGATCAACTCCAATCAAGTTCATTTATACGCACACAATGTTCAGACAACCCCACTACAGTAAAAAATCACAATTTGACAAAAGGCATATGATATGACCGAACTCCATTTCCACTAGTAACGAAAATGACACCAACCCAAGTCGGGAAATCATCGAATTCGGGGTACCCAGATGGGGAATCATCGTTCTACTATGACAAAGGCCATCAAAGTCATCAAATTGAAAAGGAAAAAGGGCGGGAGATTGTACCGGCTGACAGTGGAGAAGCGCGCGCGGGAGGAGAGAACTGGGGAATGATTATGGAAATGGAAAGCGAAGGAGATACGAGAGAGATCGAATGCAGGAGAGGAACAACAAGAAGAAAGCGCAGTGCTGAGTATGGTAAAGGGAGAGGAAGCGGCCATTACTTTTTATAGCGGAAGAGGAAGCTGGGAAGTGGGAAGTGTCGACGAGTAAAGCTGCGGGAAGCATCGTTGGACTATAAGTTAACAGCAAATCGTTTGAAGTTTGATTTATTTGAACCGAAACAGAAGCAGTAGTCCTTTTTTCGTGTTGAAGCTTGTAAGAGCGGTTCAGTAGGAGTGGAGCATGGGTTGAGATTTGCTGTTGGTAATGGAGATATCTTTCTTCTGGCTTTATGATTTGACTGTACGGACGGGACATAGTGGAAGAAACTATTGAGAATGATCATGAAGTGGATCGCCTAAACTGCTAGATTAGGGTTCATAATTACATAGTCCAATAGCACTTAGTGCATGTGATTAGTGAGGGAACAAGATAGCCTGCAAACCATAGGATAGGAGTGGTGCAAGCTTGTGATAGGTTTTTAGTGTTGTGCTTAGGTTTGATGAGAGGTTCATATAGATCATTAACATAGGTTTTTAGTGTTGTGCTTAGGTTTGATGAGAGGTTCATATAGATCATTAACATAGGTTTTTAGTGTTGTGCTTAGCTTAGGTTTTATGAGAAGTTCATATAGATCTTTGGCATAGGTTACTAGTGTTGTGCTTAGGGTTCATAATTACACACCATCTTCTCGTATCTCGTCTTATTATATTGGAGTTGTCTCGCACAGATTATTGATATATACAAGTCACGACACTAATACTTATTGGAGTCGTCTTATTATATTGGAGTTGTCTTACAAAATTTATGTTTCTCTCTACCAACTCTTTTTTTACTATCTATTAACAAATTGATTATATAATTTATATTAATACGGGGATTGTTGAGTTTAACCATTTGCATTTTGGACATTCACTAATTTGTTAATGGAAACATGATAGTAAATCTTCTATATACTATAATCAAATGGTTTTGCAATTGAATTCAAACTTGCTATTTCTAGTCAATATTAGTGAGACTTATACTTTTCAAAATTGGTCAATAGTCATGCCTCAATGTGATGCGTTCAATGGTCAAAGATTCTAAACTACTACAAATGGTTTTCAACCCTAAACCCAATCTAGAACAATTTGGTCCCCTTAAGCATCATCATTTATTTTATCCAACCATGTAATAATAATAATTTGAAGACAAATGATAAACAACTCGAATTATTGCACATATCCCACCAAGTTATTTTTTGGTCATGCTGCAAGACATCAATTTAGTTATTATGTTATAGATCTCGATCTCATACGTAGTAACGTTACAGATCGTGCCTTCCATAATTAATATATTCCGTGACAATTATTTCAACATAGTATGAACCAAATTATGTTTGTTTGTCAACTTGTTATTTTTGTTAGATCATCTAAACAAATTCCCACTATAAGAAAGATGTATACATGTATTGTAGACAATACAATGTTTGGAAGTGTCAAAGTGTTAAACAATGCATGCATTGTTTTAGGTAGGTCCCACTAACAATAACAAAAAATGATGCATTATACAATCTCAACTTTTAGTTGAGATTGTTGTGATTGTTGGTTTTAGATTTGTGTCAACTTTTTCTTTCCATTTATATCCCCAATAATTTTTGTCTTATTCTAAAAGTTGAGGGTAAATGTGACATTTCTCCATAAAAGTAACTTTATGAAAATCAATGCATAAAGTAGAATCTCAACAATCAAACAATGTATAGTTAAAATGCATCCATTGTATCAATACATGCATTTATATTATAATGATTCATTACAATGCAACGATTTAACATTCGCAACTTACAAACCAACCTAAAAAAACACAATTCAATCTTTTTAACAATTGAAACTTTAACGATAAAGCGGGACGTGCTACCAAACTACAAGAAACTTAATGTTTCATGGGCCGTGTTCAATCAGGCTCCAAATCCAAATCGATGTGAAAGGCTGTGAAAGGCCCATTTAACTCAAAGACAAACTGAGGGCCCATTTATGTAAGAAGTCATCTTGTCCCCTTTTGAGTTTTGACCGCAGTTTTAAACTCCATCCCCCATTTCATTTCTTTCTTCAACAAAAACCCTAATCCAAATCCCGCAAAATTTCCTTTTCAATTTTGGTATTAATTTTTTCATTTGCTATTATATTCCGCAGATTTTCTTCTATCCCAATCTGATGGAGCTAGAACTACTGATCGGCGGCCGAAGAATTCCGATCCCAGAAAGCTTCCCGCCACCATTTCCCCCTTTCCCCGCCGGCGGTAACCTCCTTCCATCCATCCCAACTGTCCCCGTTCCGCCGCCGGGCGATGACGACGCGGGAGGCATGGCTTTCCCTGGCTTTCCTCCGCAGAAGCTGCGCCCGGTGAGAGGGAACCCTTCGAGTTCCGAAGTGAGAAGCGAGAACGGTCTGGGGTTGCTGCAGCAGCGGCCGCCGATTGCGACCGATGCGGTGGAGCTGGAGGGGACTTTCGACAAGTTGGGCGTTTTCATGAACGAGGTCTGCGGGGACGGTGGCGATTACTTCCCGTTGCCGCCGGATGAAGCTGATTGTGCGAGTGTTCTGAGGAGTATTGCCAACGGCGGCGGGGAAGCGCAGTGCTCGCCCGGGCTTGGGTCTCCGGGAGAAGGGTCCGGTTCGGGTCGGCAGAATGTTGAGGGGAATAATAGCGAGGGTGGGGTCTTGGAGGACGAATCGAGGTTGGTTGGTTGCTTCATTTCGTATTCCATTAGTTGAACTCTATTTTGATTCCCATTTTGGATTTTACTTGATCTCGATTCCTTCGATGTTCACATTCAATGTTCAAAGCAATGATCTTTTCGGTTTAGAAAATCGAATGTCATCACCCTTTAGGTTCACTGATCACAGGGCCCAAGTACGATAGCGAGAGTTTGAATGTTCGTTCCATTTTTTGGAGTGAGATCGAATGTTTATTCACATTGCCAATAACATTGAATAAAGTAAGGAATGGTTAAGAAATGTGAACGAATTGCTAAGAGGTTGAATGTTCCATCCACGTTAACAAGAAGGACATAAATTAAGGTGGGATTTGATTGCTTCGTGTTGCCAGTGAATGTGGAAAGAAAGATGGATGCTTTGATTTAGTTGGGTGTGGAAGTGCATCTACTACACAAGTCATGCTGATTTCTGGAATAAAAAATGGATTGTTAGAGTTTTTATGTTGAGCGGTTTATTTGTTTCATCTTCTGCCATTTGAGTTGTGACACTCTGTAAAGTGGGGCATAAATGTGTGTTCTACTTTTGATAACTGAAGCTGTGTGTCTTTCATTTTCTTAAGAATTCATGTTTTTTTGCAGCTCATCATCATCCGATGACGAGGAGGGCTCATCGGCAGATACAAAGAAGGGTTTGAATCTGAAGCGGAAGAGAAGAACTCGGGAGAAGATCGAGCATTTCGTCGAAAGGTTAGTGATGGAAGTGATGGACAAGCAGGAGCAGATGCATGCACAACTTATAGAGATGCTGGAGAGGAGAGAGCGGGAGAGAATCATGAGAGAAGAAGATTGGAGAAAGCAGGAAATGGAGAGGAATAAAAGAGAAGCAGCAGCCAGGGAAGAGGAAACCTCGCGTAACCTAGCACTCATTTCCTTCATCCACAAGGCACTGGGTGGCGGTGATGGAGACATCAAAATTTCTGAACAACTTGCTGCCATTTCGCCAGATCAAGCAAAAGATGTAATATTTGCCACTCCATGTGAAGATAAAGGAAGATGGTCTGAAGCCGAGATAAATGCACTGATAACTCTCCGAACTCCAATCGAGCCGAAGTTCCGAATCGTGGGACCCAAGTGTTCTTATTTATGGGATGGGATATCTGCTGGGATGAAGAAAATGGGCTTTAACAGGAGTGGGAAGAAATGCAGCGAGAAATGGGAGAACATGAACCACTACTATAAGAGATCGATGGAGAATAGAGGGAAGAAGGGGTTCAACAGTAACAAGGTTCCTTACTTTCATGAACTCAAACTTCTGCACGAAAAGGAGGGATTCAACTCCTACATTACCGCCAATCAGACAACTCGGGATGCCAGTGCTGACGATGTGATAGAAAATCAGCTCGGAAGCTGAAGCTTTTGCTACAAGCTTGGCCAAATCCTTTCTTCTTATATAATTAACTAACCAGACAGGATATACTGAGAAACAAATACAGTAGTAGAACAGACACAAAAAGTGATGAAGGATGGATCCTTTCGTTTTCTCCTTATGCTTGCTATCTTTCTTGTGATGTGTTAAGGGTTAAATGCAATGCAGCTTGATGCACGAGTCGATTTGGCCGATCTCCTACCAGACGAAAAGGGCAAGGATGAAGGAGTAGATAAGGGTGGAGAGAGGGACGAGGGAGAGGATGAAAGCCAAGATAGCAGGAGGTTGTGGAGCCATGTAGAGTGGGAAGATGAAGAGAGATGATAGTAGAAGAGAGGCCATGAGAAATGAACACACAATTGTAGAGCCTGAAATATTGCTGCTATCCATCTCTCTTCTTTTTGTTTTAGAAGTTCCTCTCTGGTCAATTTTGGGGTGAAGCTGAAAGATGGAGAAGGTATATGTCTGTGAGCAGGGACAGCTAATTCTGTAAAGGGAGTTACAACATGGATGGGAATTTTGCATTAATGAAGAGATGGAAATTGTTCAGCAGTTACAGAATTGGGGAGATTTAAGGATGGTTTCAACGAGTTCAATGCATTTCTCTTACTTTCTAATCTCTTTTATATACTTGCCAATTCATTAAATTTGTATGGGGAGGGAGGTTAATTTAGGGTGTGGAAATTGTGGGATTTGAGCTATGTACGAAAGATTTAGGTATCAGTCTATCTCGATGATTCGGGTTTCTAGAAGCTCGTCCAACATTCAATTTCGTATTATTTTCGTAAAATTTGTTGAGTGTAGTATATGAGCAAACTCAATTGCTATATTTTGAAAATTTTCATTTTCCCTTTGTTCTTTAGGCACACAATTAGGTTATTAGAGATTGGTGTATAATAAAGGTAGGGTTTTATTACAAAAGATGAACATGTGTAGAATTTTGCATGTCTCCTTTTACCGTTTATGAAGAATCAATATTAATGGTAATAAATCAGCTTGTTTGGAAATAACGGTTGTAACAAAGTATTTATGTCTTAATATACATTGATTTCTTTATTATCAAGTTCTCTAGAATGCTGGTGATGAAGATCCAATCCAATGTATAACTAGAGTATAATAGGCACCAACACAAGCTCTAACAAAAACTTAAGCGGGAAGACCATCACATGTCCTAAAAGAATATCGAAATACTTCAATAATTATACAAGAATAGTAATATTATTAAGTACATATCTTAATTTTTATTAAGAAGCCTAAATAAAGACATGAAAATATTTGTCGTCCTCCATCTATATTCCACCAATAGTGTTTAGGAAGGAAATTTGGATGGAAGCACTTAAATTGTACTTAAGTGGTGTTCGATGCACTTATTAGAGTTAAGTGGCATGAGTTCATCAAATAGAAAATTGAAGTGGTACTGGCCTAGCGGGTGTATTTTAACCTCTTATTGACCCGGTATCTGAAAGACAAAGCAAAGATTCGAATGTTCGTCACCCAATTCTCCAACGTTGATACTAAGTACTAACACTCTTGACTCTTGTGCTTTTGAAATAGTACCATATCAATCATTATATACACACCACCATTAGAAACGTACTCGTATAGAAATTAATTTAAGTCAATTGAACTTTTACGTATGAATCCTTCAATTGCAAGATCACTCCGGCCAATAAGAAAATGGACAAACGAAACATGCACGTCAGTTTACGATCATATAAGAGCGAGAATCTTATTAAGCGCAAAACAACCGCTACCGTATCAAATGTAGTACTATATAGTAGTAGTACACAACATGTTCCCCCCTCTATATGATACTCTATATATGATCAATGAAACGAAACACAACTATTCATAGAAATAGAATCACAATAACCAACCACAACAAATCCCGTTGCAAAAACCCCCCCTACGAAGAAGTGTTGATGTGAAGGGAGACGAGTAAGGCGACCGGCATCAGAAACATGGCCACCACAAGAAACCACGACGGAGGACCCACCACCGAGGAGCCAATGATCAGCGGTCCGACCAGCACTATTGCCGCCACCATCATCAGAGCCGCCGTGCAACCGCCGCCCCACCCTTCCAAGCCCTCCGCCGCCATTGGTATATATATAGGTATTCTATGTGTGATTACCGTAGTAGCTAGTATCGCATGAATCTTGTTGTGATACGGACAGTACGTACTTTTATATAGAGACGAAGGCGGAGGCTGAATTCAAATTCTGAACGATCACGTCGTTTCCCGGTTTTCGTATTTCCCGCCATCTTGTGTGTCTACTCTACTCGTTCAAGCAAGCCGTTTTGGGAACTCATTAGAACTGGGAAATATCGGAGAAACAGGGGTTGTATGGGGTTTGTCCAGAGTATTTTGTTCGTCCAAATATGGAGTCTTTGTAACTCCCAAAAATCGTAATTTGGGATGTACCATGCAGCAAGTTTAGTAAACAAGTTGTAATGTGATTAGATGCATGACTAACCCCGCAAAAGGCACTTAATTACTTATTTTGAATAACTCAGACGAATCTATTGCATTTTTGTACGAACAATAAGTACGGAATAAGACAAACATTTCACACAACCGGAAGGTGTGATTTTTTTGTAGTTCGAGTCCAACAACATGCTTTATATATTTTGATTTTATAAGTGATATTGGTTTCCATCATGATTGCAACTCAAATATTCAACAACGTGTGATCATACGTGTCTACTTGAAGAAGGAAGTTGTTGGTTTTAGTGATTACTTTCTTTCTCAAGACAAGATGATGGTTGTAAGGGTTGATTCGAGGTGGATGTATGAGATTTCTTAGTCTGGATGTATTTGGAATGAAACCCGCAGGAATCATTGAGGCTCGAGAGGCCTTGTTTATATATCAACACCCAACTCCTTCTGAAGGAAGGGAAGGTAAAGTTACCCATCTACAACTGTATAACGGTAAGAAACGAAAATACAAACTATCTACAAATCAAATAACGACAGGTGTAACTTGAACAGTAAAAATGGAACGCTATCAACACTAACGAAGACGACACCGTTCTTTCCCAGCTCTTCAACTGCTTCCGGGTGAGAATGCGACGTCGTCCAGGAGGCTCCTTAGTGCTGGACAATCGATGTGGTATAGTTCCTCCATTCAATATCTTCAATAGGATGGACATTATAAGTAGCTGCTTAAGATTTGATTTTCAATGTACTACCAATGCACCAAACCGAACCATTTTAGTTAAGCTTTAAGGTTGTTTGTCTCAAATGGCAAACGATATATGAAAAATTGGAGGAGGACAAACCAAAGGTTAGCTATAGCTAGGTATTGGACTATATAATATATCTCCAAGTCCCAATACAAAAACCATTTGGACCAATCCCATGGCATGCAAATATACATCAATGAGATAGGCTCAAGGAATAGATACTACAATATGTATGTTATCGCCAAAGCATATCGCCATTGGCCGAAACTATTGTAACTACTAACTTGCTAGCTAGCTAGCATTACTACAATTAAGTCCGATCCAAACTAGTTACGTACCTCAATCGAACTAGCTCCACTTCGACGAACACAGCCATGACATTACAGACTAGAGATGGATGTGTCGAGTGGGGGAAAAGGAGTGGGAAGAAGTTCATCAGTCATCACCGGCCTCGTTGAGTTCGCCCCATCCCCACTCTCGTACAACCAAAAAACACCATGCAATCCCATTCGCCACGTTTCCACGGTTTGGCTCCATGTAGATTGCCACTTGCCCGTTTCCCCACCCTACCAGAGAGAGAAAGAAAAGAACCAACCCACAAAACTACAATATGCAGAGCTCATTATAAAACAAAAAACAGAGGCAGTGAGCGAGTGAGCAGAGAGAAGAGTGAGCAGAGACAGAGAGGGAGAGGGAGAGTTCAATGGAGCATGCAACAGCAGCAGCAGCAAATGGATCAGGAGGCGGCTTCCATGGCTACCGCAGCAGCTCTAACAGGCCCCCCACCACTCCACCTTCTTCAGGTAAACCTACACTGAAACATGATCTGCAGTACAATACGGTGGCAATGTTTATGTCGACACTGTTAGTTGGAATCTACCTCACTTCTAGTGATCAGCTGATCATTCTCGTGGCAGAAAGATTACTTCTTGAGAGTTAGATTTGATGTAATTTATGTTCATGTATATCCTTATCCATAAGTTTTCTTTCTGCAAGTTATTCCCTCATATCTTTGTGGAAGACAATATAATGCAACAAGACAAGAAAAGGATTAATGTTTTTAGTAGTACTAATGTAGCTTGGGAATAAAAACACACAAAAAGTAGGGGGTAAAAACAAGTTGAAGGTAACCAATAAAACAACAAACATGGTGTGGAACACCAGACATAGAGAGTGAACAAGTGGCAGCCAGGATTTCATGCATCTTATAATCCCTCCTTCACAAATGTCATCCATGCACTGCAATGTACCTAACTCGTACCGGTTCAACCGAACCCGGTAGTTGGATTTGAGTCATGGGTTTGACTCATCTCTGTGTGTTCCTTGCCTTCCTTCACAGGAGTAGTGAAGCTGCTGGCGGAGATCAACAACAACCACCACCACCACTACACCACCACCAACAACAACAACTCCTCCTCGGCCGTCGATGTGACGGAGGAGTGCACAGTGAGGGAGCAGGACAGGTTCATGCCGATCGCCAACGTGATCCGGATCATGCGGAAGATCCTCCCCCAGCACGCCAAGATCTCCGACGACGCCAAGGAGACGATCCAGGAGTGCGTGTCGGAGTACATCAGCTTCGTCACCAGCGAGGCCAACGAGCGGTGCCAGAGGGAGCAGCGCAAGACCATCACTGCCGAGGACGTCCTCTTCGCCATGAGCAAGCTCGGGTTCGACGACTACATCGAGCCCCTCACAGTCTACCTCCACCGCTACCGCGAGCTCGAGGGCGACCGTGCTGGGGCCGCCTCTGCAGCTGCAGCCTCTTCGGCGCTCGGGCTGAAGAGGAGCAGCAGCAATGGGAATGGATCAGGTGGTTTCATGATGGAGTATCTGGGGGGATCGTCAGGGTATGGAACTGCATCGTTCCATTCCCACCACCACCACCACCACGCACACTCTCGTCACCCTGCTGGCAACGGGTTTTACAGCGGGGCCAATGTGGGGAGCTCGTCGTCGCAGTCATCGTCTCCGCGTGGCAATGGGTCCGCGAGCAATGGGGAACATCGCCATCCAATTTTCGGTCACCGTGATCAGAAATGAGAGCGGCGATGGAGGTGGTATGGCCTGGAGATGGGGAGGGTGAAGCTCTGTGGACTAGCTAGCTAGACAGTTTACTTGTGCTGACGTGGTGGCATTGTTTTGCCTCCTTTTAACTTTCTCTGCTAATTTTGGGGTGGACTGAACTCGGTGTGTGATGGATGAAGTAAACATATCCTGCATCGACATTTTGCTCCTTGTGCTTGCTTATGGATTTTGCTTCCTATTCCCTCGATGAATGCAATGTGTTGGTTCCTTGTGTTAGAGATATAGTTATGGTTGAATTCAAGGTAAACAAAAACGAACTAGAATCGAACCTGATGATTGAATTCAGCACAACGAGATTCAGGATTACAGAGTTAATGTATGAGAGAAGCCATAAAGATTGGGGATTCTTACTAGCTACTAGGAACCTCAGTACACTTCCTCTTACTCTCAGATGGCTGTTCATCTCCTTCCTCCTCTATTTCCCCATCGCCAGCCGGATCAGCTTCGCATCTTTTCCTCTGTGGAATCACTTGGAAGAAGGCCTCCTTCCAATCCCTAGTTTCCAAGTACTTGAGCAGAATTTCCATGACTTGATTCACAGTAAGCACCTGGAATGTTTCAGCAATCACTTATGAGAATAGCTTACACAATGTGCTAAGAAATGAAACAAAATTGTGTACTTCTATACCTGAGAGCTAGACATCTTCAAGAAGTTGCCGATGGGGAGTTTAGCAGTCTGGATGCCTTGCTCCTCTGCTTTCTTTAAGGTTATCCCTTTAAACCGATTCCTGTCGACCAACCCGCCAACGATGTATACTTTGCTTGCATCGAGCTCATCTAGCACGGTTTCAGCGTCTGCTGTGAGGTACACCAGGTTCTCCTTCTGACCTTCGAATGCTTCGATGTATGATCGAGCTTCCTTCTCGATTATCCACTTGTCGAACCCGGGTAGTGTTCTCAGCTGGGTTTCCATCTCCCCCTGGCAACCCGTTAACCATAGATGCCCAGGTGTTTCACATTTTCCATTGACAGCATAGCAGTACATTATCTGCACATTTGACAGATAGAAAGATGAAGTCTTTGCCAGTCAGAAAGATGACATTAAGGGGCTACAATGATTCCGAAAAATAACCAACTGAATGTAGAAGTGCTGTCATCTTAAAGTTTCAAACTTCAACTCCATTTCTCACTGAATGCAAGATTAGCTATTGATCAATCATAACCTTCAATGCATCATATAGTAGCAAACGGAATTCCATTTCTGGCGAGTTTAAGATAGCCATAGATCATGCATGATATTCTATATGTTAAGACTCCAATCCATCATACAGATTCCAGTACCAAAAGGAATTTCATTTCGAGTACATTCAAGAGAGCCACTGATCATCACAGCTTTCACTATGCTAACCCTTTGAGACCCAGAAACTAAGCGCCAATTCTCAGTGAACCCTAATTCAAGCAGCCATTGAATCTATCAAACATCAATTGAATTCTTAAGAGGGAGGAGAAAGAAACGGAGAAATGACCTGCTGAACTAGGCTGTGAATCTCCGATGTCGTCATGAGATCGGAGAACTCAAGATCAATGACGATCTTCTGCCCTTGTTCTCTCGCTCTGCTCAGCCGCTCGAACTTGGCATTCTTTTCCTCCGACCTCTGCTCCATTCTCTCCTTCCTCAATGCCTTCCTCGACTCTAACAACTTCAACCTCTCTTCCTCCGGCACCGCCGCCAGCGCTTCCTCCCATTCCTTTCGCTTCCGCTCAACTTCCTTCTTCTTCTGCTCCTTCGCCTGCGCCTTCTTCTCGGCCTTCTTCGCCTCGTACCTCTGCTGCTTCAACAGCTTCTTCTGCGCGCTTTTGGAGAGCGCTGCAGGGGCAGGTGGATGAGTAGGTTCCTCCATCGGAGACGGTGACTTTCCGTTTCCGATTCCTTCGACGGCAGTGTTCTCGATGGCAGTTCCTCCGTCAATTTTCCCGCCGCCGTCGTCGCCACCCGCCATTGCTGCGTAAGGAGGAAGGGTTCAGGTTTCTGAATGGCGCTTCAAACCTCCTTCCTTCAATTTCACTTTTCTTTTGGGCTTTCTTTTGCCCATGGGCCACGGGCACTGAGTGCTGGCGATCCTTTAAATGACCCAAATCTTTAGGGCCTCGTTAATTTTTTTTTGTTTTTTTAGGGCCTCGTTAATTCTGAATGAAGAAATGTCATTAGCTTCATTCTACCACTAAACTTGGCTTATAACAGATTATCATGTTAATCTTGTACTCTTGTCTTTGTTCTCATGGATTATACGCGTCTTCATTGATTTGATAGTAAGAATTGTTTTCTATCTTCAAAATCACATAAAAAATGTTGCAAGAGTGTTTCGTGTCTTTATGTAGTTATATGTGTTATTCTTCTCTTAATCGTTAGTGTTAATTGTATGCGTTTGGATGTTCGATTCTAATCAATGCTTGATCAAATAGTTTACATATACGAGAAAGACTAAGATAGAAATAGTGTCGGGCGTTGACCACCGTTATACGATAAAAGACGGTAAAATTATCCAATAAACATGTTATTTCCTTTAGTACTATTGTACTAATAAACATTTTTTACTCCTGGTGAAATATGAGACATCTAATAATCAATTATCTTTTATGCACACCTTTCAACAACATCTCATCGATCGCACGCGTTTATAACGTTCTAACATAAACATCGATCATTATAAATATAATGCATTGACACTAGTAATTGGTATAATTAATCACTGGTTATGTCCTAAATCCTCAATTTTTTTGACAAAAGATAATCATATATTGATCAGAAAAATAGATAGTTACATCTGGAATTTAGCCAGACCATAAAATCAAAGAAGCGACTCGCAGTCAGATACAAATGAAGAGCCCTCTTAGCCACCAAATGGGCTACCCTATTATTACGCCGACCTACAAGCCGCACATAGAAGCCACTATGGCCATATAAACAACTTAACACTTCTTCAAGTATGGCTCCAACCCGGCTATCCCTCGTATCCGCTTGATTGATTTTATCAATAATCGTCTTCACGTCCCCTTCAAATCGCATTTGGTCAAAACCAGCCTCGATACACTAGAGAAGCGCCTCCCGGAGCGAGAGGATCTCGACAAGCAGAGGATCATAAATACCAGCAAAATGGGCCCCTTTGGCCATCAAAACCATACCTGACTGGTTCAGAACAACCATTCCTAGAACCATTTTCTTAATCTTCACCGAACTTGTATTAGAAAGATATCGGCAATTTTTGGTGTGCGCGTTTACAATCTCTTTTTTTGTTTTCTTTCATTTCATCGATCGCACACACTACTATTAAACGTTTCAATATAAAATCGATTATCACAAGTACGATGTTATGTCGTTGGTATTACTATACTATAAATAACGTACTTAAGTTAAAAAGGCAAAATCATTAATGATATAGTTGTGCAGATTCTCTTTTCAGTAATATTGTTTGCGAAATTTATTTTGTTGTCAAATTTCAGAGTAGACGAAGGAGATTATAAATAGGTAGACAGATAGATCTCTCTCCGACCAAGAACAACAAACAGAGCTCCGAGGTTCGAACTCTCGAAAGTCAGCTGCATTTCCCTGTGAATTTCAATTTCAATTTTCTTGCATCTCTTCCGCTTGTAAAAGAAAAACAAAAAAAGAGACTCGAAAGTCGAAAGTGAGAGGGAGAGAGAAAAGCACGCGACGCAAGCGAAACTCTCTCGCATCTGCTTATTTGTCTCCCCTCTCTTCTTTCTTTTCTGCTTCTGCTTAACCCTATCGAAAGCGAGCAAGCAAAGCCTTTGTCTGGTTGCTCGATGTAAGCAGAGAGCTTCCTGTTCTTTGCTTACTGCAGTCAAAAGTTCGGAACTTGAAACGTGGGATTTCCTCCCATCCTCTCTGACTATGGCGGAGAAGAAGCTCGAGGAGCAGCTGAAGGAAGTAGGATCGAAGCTCGAGCCTCTTCCTTCTTCCAAGGATGCGCTGGTTAAGCTCTTGAAGGTTTGGCACCCTTTCCATTCTCATTTCTCCCTAGTTACTAGTTCTTCCAATAATTGGTGGGTTTGTCTGCATTTAGTCCGGGATGGAATTCGCGGGTTCTGGTTTGAAAACTAGGGGGAAAAGGCGCCCTCTTTTTTCGTTTAATCATTTCCCATGTTTGGCCTCTGAGGTTAGAAGTGAGATGAGAGAGTAGCAAGATTTGGGGTTATGGCTTCGCGTTGTGGTTGATTCTTGTGGCCTATGGAGCTAAATTGTGGAAGTTTCTTGTTGAGTTCGACCGAGTGGTGAACTTGAGCTTGCTTGAATTGTTCGGTTGCCTTTCGGGAGCGTGAAAGTTATCACCTTTGGGGCTCAATTCATGAGAGGTGGCGTTGATTTAGGCCGTTTCACTAGTTTCATTCATCGGTGGAGGGTGGTGAGCAGGTGAGAATGAAATTAGGGTTTGTTGTTGTATAGAGGTTTGATGGGAATTTATTGGCTTGGTGCTGAGAACCAGTATGTCATTCTATGCACGTGCTGTTGCAGCTCATGGAATTAGTTTCATTCCCTTAGGAGTTGGGAGTAAAGGTTAGTGTACTATTGAGTAGTTTCTGGTTCTACAAAAGTTTAGAATGTCTGGGAATAAACATCACTGTGGTAATTCTGGTCTATTTTTGATGAAAGACAAGGAGAACTAGCCTCTGAAAACAAATGAAACACGGAAGGAGGGCCGTAGAGAGGCAGATGATTGATATTGACCTGTTGGGATTCCGGGGGAAACGATGAATTGTAGAAAGGATGTAAATTGAGTCTGGGGTAGTAGCAGGAAGTGAAAGACAATTGTGAGGGCTCTTATGTTCTTATGGAGGATTCATTTGTGACAGGAGACACATGGACAATGCTGAGTTGTATAGTCTAGCGTAGAAATGAATTAGAAAGTGTCTAGCATTTGGATATTTTATTCTTGTTAAACACTTGTAAACAATGTTCTGATAGCCGATAGGAGTATTACCTCCTGACTCATCCATGGTCCTTAGAATCTAAGTACCCTGCTTTCGTTTGAAAGTAAAGTAAGCTGCCTCTTTAGCCCGTGCTTATTGTATAGTACTAACTGCCTAAATGGGAATAATGTTTGCGCAAATTTTCAGTTATCGAGTAAAGATGTTTGGAGGTGGGTACCCATTTTATATCACGTCATTTCCCCGCTAAAACTTATGGAAGCATGGAAACCTCTTTTTCTGAACATGATTAGTAACTTCCACATGGAAATAAAAAACATGATCAGGATATGGATAAACACTTTACGGAGTAAAGTTTCCACATAAAAGAGGTGGCACATTAAATGCTTGTTACATGGTTTCGTAAATTCTCTCACCAGTGTTGCTCGCTGGTTCCTGCGTTTTAGGTTCGAATATAAGCGTTTCCTATCTGTCATGCATTTGTGTGTGATATTTCCTTCTTAATATTGGTTTCAGTTTATGATCTCTCGAATTCATTACAAAAAGTGGCACTCCTCAATCATGTCATTATTGCACTCACCGGTATCTTGAGTAATGACAATTTGTCGTTTTCCTTCAGCAAGCTGCTTCATGTCTTTCTGAGATGGATCAATCACCATCCCCTACAATGTTGGAGTCCATGCAGCCATTTCTTACTGCAATTGTGAAGTCAGAACTGCTGAAGCATCAAGATAGGGATGTAAAGCTTCTAGTTGCAACCTGCATTTGTGAAATAACCCGGATCACTGCACCTGTTGCTCCATACAGTGATGACATTCTAAAGGTGGTTGTCCCTAGTTAAATTCATAGGCATGATGCCACTTTTCCTCTCATATCCTCTGCAATATTCTCTTTCTATAATCTTACTGATTACTTTTTTTGTGCAGGATATATTTCACTTGATAGTGAGCACCTTTAGTGGCTTAAGTGATACTGCTGGTGGTCCATCATTTGGGAGGAGAGTTGTCATTTTGGACACTGTTGCCAAATACCGGTCCTTTGTTGTGATGTTGGATCTTGAATGTGATGATCTCATCAAAAAGATGTTCGCAACATTTCTTGCTGTCGCCAGGTTTGATTCTCTCGATTGTCTATTTCTTTCTTTTCACTTTGAGTTTGGAATGTGCATTGATTGAGTTACTATAACTAGCTCACCGATAATCTGCTACCGGACTCGTTTGTTGACCCGATAGGCATTTTGGATAGTTTCTTGCTTTGTGTCTACTGTTGTCGTCAAATTAAAGTCTCTGCATCTGTTTCCCTAAATTGGTGTTAAGATCCAGAATTTTTGCTTGTTTCATTTCTCTTTTGAGCTAACATTTGACTAGTGGGTTGGGTAGCTATTGACTAATTAAAAAACTGTTAGTGGTTTTAGAATTTAAAATCTGAAGCTTGGTTGTTTCAGATTTAAGAAAAAGTAACGTTCTTATATTGCCCTCGATTGGCTATTGAAGACTTCTCCCAGATCTTTCACATGTTCATATGATGGGGTACCTTCTTGAATATGCTGTATACTATTAGTATAAAATGCATCAGTAGTCATTCACATGATTGCTGGTTGATTGACGAAAGGCAAAATCGACTGTACAGAACAGTTCACACTGTTTGTTCAATTATAAAAGGTGCCCCGATTATGTTGGGTGTTCGCACATAATGGCTCTCATGGTTTATGTTTGGTTACAGAATTACCAAATCTTTACTTGATGAGATAAGTAACTCATTGCTGTTTTTCACTGATTCAGGGATGACCATCAAGAAAATGTGCTTTCATCTATGCAAACAATCATGGTCGTTCTGATAGAAGAAAGTGAAGAAGTTAAAGAGGATCTGTTACTTGTAATATTATCAGTTCTGGGACGTAATAAAAGTGTAAGGATCGTTTCTCGTTATGGTGAATATATGTTTGTTCTATTTTTTCTACTTGTTTGATGTTGCATAGTATGAATTATGTGAAATTTCTTTTCAGGATGTTTCTAAAGCTGCAAGAAGGCTTGCCATGAATATCATAGAGAAGTGTGCGGTAAAACTTGAATCTGGTATGAAACAGGTCCTGGTATCATTAATGTCTGGAGATAACAGGCTTTCAGATACTCAAATTGACTACCATGAAGTTGTCTATGATATCTACTGTACTGCCCCTCAGACATTGTCAGGAGTTGTCCCTTACCTCACAGGAGAGTTGTTGGTAAATTTCAGATTAACTTTCTCAAGTTTATGGGGGTTTTCCCCCCTTCAAAACCAGTTTTTCAGAGTATTCCTTAATACTTTCGTGAAATGAGTTCTATCTCAGCCAAAGATTTAAAATCTGCAGAACGATCAACTAGACACTCGTTTGAAAGCACTGGGGCTTGTTGGAGGTCTGTTTTCCTTGCCAGGGTCTACAATCACTGAAACGTTTCAGCCAATCTTTCTGGAATTCTTGAAAAGGTTGACTGATAGGGTAGTTGAAGTTAGAATGTCTGTCCTCGAGCATGTAAAAGGCTGTCTACTTTCAAACCCTCTTCGTGCAGAGGCCCCTCAAATTATATGTAAGAGTGTTGACTGGCTTAATGAGCTCATATATGTTTTTGTTCTTCCGTAAATATATTTTAACATGGTATCAATCTTCCAGCTGCCCTATGTGACCGATTACTGGACTATGATGAGAATGTTAGAAAGCAAGTGGTTGAGGTGATCTGTGACGTGGCTTGTCATGCCCCGGGTTCTGTTCCTGCTGAAACTATGAAGCTTGTCGCTGATCGTCTTCGGGACAAATCTGTATGTGTGATTTAGACCAAGGGTTTTCCTACACTTTTGCTTGGATATTGATTTTTACTAGGTGTGACTTCTGGTGGTCAACTTATGTGTTTTTGTTGTGTTCCAAATTTCCAGCTTACTGTTAAAAGATGTACTATGGAGAGGTTAGCTGAATTCTTCAAGGTTTATCGTACGAAATCTCCAGATTGCTCCATCAATTACAATGAATATGAATGGGTTCCTGGGAAGATTTTGAGATGCTTTTATGATAAAGATTTCAGGTAAGGCGCTAGTTTTTGGTGATCTTGCTGGGTACTTGTACTCCTCTTTCTTCGCAGTAAGGTCAATAGTTATCTTGTGGGCACTATTTGGGATTGTGAACTTCACCTAGTTCTGTTTTAAGCTAGTAGAAATTCATTGGTGTGCCGGTTTGAATATTTTTATACGTCCGAGGGATCTTGGGTCTATACTGTGTTCTAACCTGTTACTGCCTTTGCAGATCAGATGCAATTGAGTACGTTCTCTCTGTTTCTTTATTTCCAAGTGAACTCTCTACAAAAGATAGAGTTATGCTGTGGGTGAGAATCTTCTGTACCTTTGACAAAGTTGAGGTGAAAGCTCTTGAGAAATTAATGGAGCAAAAGCTAAGGTGCGTTGTGAATGTGGATTCCTTTCATGCTAAAGGAGCCCAGTTTGAACTTCATCTATTTTCAAGTCCACTGAGTCCACTGAGTCTCCTGTGATTTGTTTTATTACAGGTTACAGCAAGAGATGCAGAGGTACATCTCTCTTAGGCCGATGCATCAGGTGGGAAACTTACCGAGCTAATGTGTTTTTTCGTTCAATTTCTGTCAATTTAGGAAAACCCATTTCAATGTAAGTTGTTTCTTTGTACAGGAAGGTGATGCACCAGAGATCCAAAAGAAAAAACTGCTCTGCTTCCGGATTATGTCCCGCTCCTTTCCTGACCCTGCTAAGGCTGAGGAGAACTTTTTGATACTTGATCAACTGAAAGATGCAAATATCTGGAAGATTTTATCATCTCTGCTTGATGTAAATACTAGCTTCCAACAAGCTTGCACTAGTCGGGTAAGCAAGCGAATCTTTATGGCGTAAATACGTTGGGGAGGTGCATTGTTTGGGCCGCTAGGAATCAAGATTCTCTAGGGTATTGGTCTGGAATGTGTGCTTAACACGTGTTTCGAGACTATCTTTTTGAATGTAGTGGATGGTATCAATTCATCATCCCTGTCTTGTTGGATTATCGTTTTTGTCGTTTGATATCATTTTCCACCACCATTTTTGCCACTGACAAGGGATATCTATGGAACACGGGATTGCTTGATCAGTGGAGTAAAACATATAGTGTTATGTGTTTGTGATGCATTGTGTTGGTTTAACTAACGGTGCCTTTAGCTGTATTAAAGAATTGAATCTATTGTTTTCTTTTCCATGTGAATGTCTTGTTAATATAATTTCCCCCCCTTTTTTTCAGGATGACATGCTAAAAATACTTGGCGAGAAGCATGGGCTTTATGATTTTCTGAGCAGCCTGTCTGTGAAGTGTTCATATTTACTATTCAATAAGGAGCATGTTAAAGAAATTATTTTGGAGGCTGGAGCACATAAGTCTGCGGGGAACACAGAACTCACTCGCTCGTGCATGGATATATTGGTGGTAAGATTCTTGTGTTTCAGCCATGGTACATTATTCGCCTCGCCATAAACTATGTTTTGCGGTTGGCAAGTCGTTTGTCAAACTCTATGTTCTGTGGCTCTATTTATACCAATTTATGGTCTTCTTTCTTGATGGAGTCGAATAAATTTGTTCACGTGTTCGGATATTGTACCTTTCTCTCCCTCATTTTGAATGAAGAATTTATTGGCTTTCTATGGCATTATGGATTTAAATGTTGTCTTCCATTATTGCGAAATTGTGTATGCTTTCTCTAGTTTAAAGATTATAACTGCTCTGTCTCATAACACTCAGATTCTTGCACGTTATGGGCCATTGCTATTTGGGGGTGCTGAAGAAGAATTGATAAGTTGCTTAAAGGATGAAAATGAAATAATCAAAGAAGGTGCATTACATGTTTTGTCTAAGGCTGGTGGCACCATCAGAGAACAACTCGCAGCGTCATCAAGGTGGTGTAAAATTTACTGTTGCTAGCGTTTTGTGGTCGTCCTTTATGTATACGAAGTCTCATCCTATTTTTGCTCTGTTGCAGTTCTATTGACCTCATATTGGAAAAGCTGTGCCTTGAAGGCAGTCGAAGGCAAGCCAAGTACGCGGTGCATGCACTTGCTGCAATAACAAAGGATGATGGGCTCAAGTCCCTCTCTGTTCTGTACAAGGTTGTTCTCTTTTATCAGTTATTGACAGTTTTCATGTTGCTAGATCTGATTATTCTATGGAGGGAGACCATCCCTGAAAGCATTAATTGACCTAAAGTTTGTTGCTTCTTGGTAAGTGCAGAAGCTCGTTGGTATGCTAGAAGAGAGGATAAATTTGCCTGCTGTTCTCCAGTCTCTGGGATGCATAGCGCAAACGGCCATGGCAGTTTTTGAAACTAGAGAGGCCGAAATTCAAGAATTTGTGAAAAGCAAGATTCTGAATTACAAAAGTGTATGCTGCTGGCATCTCATTGTTTTGCATATTATTCCCTCTCTCAAGCTATTAATTTCTCGCAACATATGTAGGCTTCCCCGTTGCCGCCACCAGGAGGTAATGCAAAAGTTTGTTGGGATGATGTAACTGAAGCTAGCTTATTGAAGGTTAGTGATTTTGATTTGTGTTGTTTTTGTGACTCTCTTTCTCTCGGGAAGTATTGATAGAGAGTGGGACATTATAGAAGCTTTTACGATTTTGTGCCTATTGATGCAGATATATGGACTCAAAGTTTTTGTCAAAAGCCACTTGCCTGTTAAAGATTGGCACCTTCGTCCTGGTATTGAAGACCTTCTAGGAACAGTGAGGAACTTACTGCGACATGGCGAAACATCCCAGGAAATAGGATCAAGGTAGTGCTTTGATTGGCTTATGCCCAGTATATCCATAAACTTTTAACATTATTGCATTACTGTTGATATCTTCTTGCATTGTGTGTTCATTTTCATCTACAGTTTGGTCGATCAGGAACATCTGAGGCTTGCGGCTGCAAAGGCAGTTCTTCGTCTGTCGAAGCACTGGGATCATAAGATTCCTACTGATATATTTCACTTGACATTGAGAGTAGCCGAGGTGATTCCTTGGAAAATTTCCTTTTTGACACTTTTCATCCACTATATGATTCTAATTGCTTTTCACGATCGGTTGCTTTCTTCAAATGGTTCCTTACCTTCTGTCTTAAATTTACAGAGTGCTTTTCCAGAAGCTAGGAAAATATTTCTCAGCAAAGTTCATCAATATATAAAGGATCGCCTTGTTGATGCAAAGTATGCTTGTGCGTTCTTGTTGAATTCGGTAGAACCTGAGCAGCTTGATTTTGAAGAGGTATTTACGGCTCAACCTTTTATTGGTTGCTAGTTATGTGGTTTTACATTATTGATGCTCTCACAAACTACTTGTTTTGAACTTGCATGTGGCATGATATTGCAGGAAAAGCAAAATCTTGTTGATATTATTCAGATGCATTACCAAGCAAAGGCACGCCAAATGACCTTACAAAATGATGCAAGTCCCTTGACCGCGTTTCCTGAATACATTTTGCCACATGTGGTCCATTCACTTGCCCATATATCATGTCCTGATGTAGATGAATGCAAAGATGTTAAAGCGTTTGAGCCAATATACCGGTACACCCATTTTACCCTTTGATTTCTTCGCTTGTGTCCTATATGCTTAGTGTCGTCAGACAGATACATTTCTTTACTGTTTGAACTGGTAAGTGAAACTAAAAGCACAAGTGCATTTTTACAGCCAACTATACTTCTTTCTTTCCTTGCTCATGCACAAAGAGGAAGAAGCCAAGTCAGAGACTGGGACCAAGGAGAAGGAGAGTGTTTCTGTGATCGCCTCTTTGTTTAAGGCTATTAAGAGCTCAGAAGATCTTGTGGATATGGCAAAAACAAAGGTAACAGAGGCACCCACATTTAGCAATATCCTATTACAGATCCTCACCATATTTGGTTATGTAGAGATATAACTATCTGTAGAAGTCTTTGAGGGGGTACTGAACAGAATGTCCATCAGATGTAGATAACAGCTTAGTTTGAGAAATGTAGAATAGCAATCTCACTCACCTTGCTATTATAATACACAGAATTCACATGCTGTTTGTGAACTTGGGTTGATGATCGTTAAGCGCTTAGCTCCAAAAGAGGATGACTTACATATGTTTGCTTTGGCGGTTACCCTGCCTTCACTGCTGTACAAACCATATGAGAAGAAGGAAGATGACTCCAAGGTATCTTATTTGGCCTCAATATTCTTCTGTTGTTCCTTTTGTGTCTCAGTTCCATCATTTGGTTTATCCATATTTTATCCACAAGTGTGATCTCATTATCTTTTCTGCCTTTCATGTCTTTCATAGGCAAATGAAGAGAAGACATGGTTGGCTGATGAGAGTGTCATAACTCATTTTCAGTCACTTGAGTTAGAAACCAATAAAACAGTACGGTTTTCTGTTGCCAGTCTATTTATTTACCTTGCAAGAAGATAAAGCTTTCTCTTTAGTAACTAGGTGGTTTGCTAATATTGTATTCTTCTTTTCTTCCATAGAAACAGGTTCCACCCCCAACTACCCTTGGTGAGGAAGTTCAAAAAGACAGCAACATAGAAGAAAATGAAGAGCCACTTGGCGAGATGTTAAAACATTTGAAGGGCAAAGGTGCAAAAAGTGGGAGGTCTAAGAAAGGGAAGTCTTCATCAGCTAAAACCAAAAGTGCAGTAAATGATTTTGATATTTTGAGTATGGTACGGGAAATAAATGTGGATGCGGTGGCACCATCTGGAAAGTTTGAGTCAAGCAACGGTCATGAGCATGCTCCAATTGAGAAGTCGAAATCACCATCAGAACAAAAAGTGGAGAAGAGAAAAGCACTTGAGGTAGAATCTGTCCCAGTACCTAAGCGCCGAAGGTCAGCGGCTGTTAGATTATCCCAGAGTCCCATGAAGACTCCTTCACGAGTTTTAGTGGAAGACTCGAGCCCTGATGTTAAGAACAAAGTTTCTTTTCCAAGAAAGATGGGTAAAAGTGGGGACTCTGACTTTTTGGTATCGTGCATTAGAAAGAGCAGAAATTCGATACCAAAGAAGGAATTCAAAAAGGCTGATAAGGATGACAGCAGTAGCGAGCATGAAGCTAAAGATTCTGATGAAGAAAATCCGACGGTAAACTCTTTCTGTTGTTCCTCAATATGCAAATAGGCATGTGCTTTATCTGAACGCTCTATGCTGCTATATGGATTTTATGCAATGTTAATTTCTGCTGCAGAGCCCAAGCTATCATGTAAAGGCTGGTAAGAACAAGAAAGCGGATAATACAAAGTCTTTGACCGGATCTGCGAAGAATCGGAAAAGAAAATGTTCTTCAGGAATGACAAAGGTTGACTCTTGTGAAGATCAATTAACTACCATCTTGATTTATGAGTTCCTTAATTAAGTTCTGAAACTCACGGTTTCTATTTAACATTTTATGACCACACTTTTTTCTGCAACCTGTTACGTTTTCTTCTGTATTCACTCTCTGCTTACATTTTATATTTTGGTCAACGGTAGTGGTTCTCATGTGCCAACTGTTCCTCCTCTGGTTTATACCTGGATTCTTGCCCTTTTAGTATAGGCGTCCAACGTTAATACTTAATACATCTCAATTTTGCTATTCCAGTCTGCAAAGAAGAATGATGAAATGGACTTTGACGAATTGATTGGTCATAGAATAAAGATCTGGTGGCCAATGGATAAGCAGTAAGTACACTCTTTTGACCTTTTGGAGAAAGTGGTGTTCCTTTAACAGTTAGTATTTCCATCGATGAACTCCACTGCATTTGTTCTAGTTATTTTCTTAAAATATTCGTGTTTCCCACTTTTAGTTTGACCTGCAACTGTGTAGTTGGTGAGCGCAGCTGTACTCTCAGTTGCTGCCGCACTTTATAGATTTCAGAAGTACTGAATATGTTTTGTGAGGACACGGATATGATTATTGCAAACATTACAGGTTCTATACAGGCACGGTCAAGTCTTATGACCCTTTAAAGGGGAAGAATGTGGTACGCTGCACCCCTCTCTCTCTGCCCTCAAAGATTGTGAATTATAGTATATATCTTATGACCAGTGCTTGATGAAATTCTTGGTTCCTGAATTTGCATAGATTCTATACGATGATGGTGATATCGAAGTTCTTCGTTTAGATAGGGAGCGTTGGGAACTGATTGAGAAGGGCCGAAATGCCACAAAGGTCTTCTACGCTCCTAGTAAAGATTATTTGCTTGTTACTCCAGTTTCACAATTAGTTGTTGTAATGGTTTTTTTCTTTGCAGAAGTTGAGTTCATCTAAGCGTGCCCCTTCTAAGGAAGAGTAAGTATAATTTCTGATGGATATGTCAGATGAAAAACCAACTAGAGTGAAAATAGCTGAGATTCTTTTTCATTTCTGTGGATGGCCTTTACAGGTCGCCCAGACTGAAGAAAAGGAGTAGAGGTGGTGCGCAGCAGAACAAGAAGAACTCCACAAAGATGTATGCTTTTAGATATTGCGGAACTCCTGCTGTAATTTACCTTGCCTTTCGATGTTTGATTTCTTTTTTTTGGTGCTGAGGTGACCATATTCTGTCTGTTTTTTCTTCATGTAGAGCTAAGGGCAAAAGAACACCAAAGAAAAACTCCAAACGAGTCCTGAAAGAGCCAGAAGAGAGCGAGCATTCTGATGCATCTGAGGCAGAACTTGCCCCGCCTTCTGATGACGAAGAAACAAAATCTGGTACTGTCAACGGTCCCATTTGACTTGGTCTACTCTGGGCTCACTTTGATAGTACTAAGGACTAATGAAATCTTGCTCCCTCTTACAGACGACTCTCGCGTTGAGCGCAAGGAAGAAAAAACACAGACTCTAACAGTGGACGAGGAATCCGACGAAGAAAATATGTCAACTCCCCCCATTAAACACTCGGAGGATGATGACGTGGAGAATAAGTCCGATCATTCCGACAATGCTGGAGAAGGAGCACAAAGTCCTGAAGTCAGAGATTCTGGTGATATCAAAAGTGAAAAGCACGAAGAAGTGAATGCTGATGCTGGTGAGGAGGAAAGTGAGAAACGTGAAGTGGAGAAGAGTGATTCTGACGTTGAAGGATCTCATTCAGAAGAGGAGAAGAAGGAAGAAGACCAATCGGACGAAGGAGAGGAATTAGATTCAGAAGAGAATGAAGATTCTGGCCATGTCGACATGGATCAAACCGATCCAAAAAGTCCTGAGCTTTTGGATGATGAGCCTCTTGTATAGTCTTCTCGCCCTCCTATCACTTTATTTCCAGGCATTTTTAGTACATCAGGGTTGTCTAACTTAGGATACTTTGTAATTTGCAGAGCTTGTGGAAGGATAAAGTTGGGAAGAAGTCGGCGTCAAAGCGAGCAAGCTGAAGCAGGAGAGGCAGGGACGGGTTATTGACCTGAGCAGAATGAACAGTTCGTACTTTGCTTCAGCAATTTGGTTGGTTATTGTACCTTAGCTGGTGGTGGTGGTGGTGTAGATGGAGGAAGAAAAGATTGGCAATTGAATGGATGTAAAGAAGAGAGTAATAAACTTCTTAGGGAGGTATCATCTAGTTGGGGACCTGTTTTATCAGATCATAAGAAAACTGTAAAGTAAAATTTACTGCATTAGGGCATCCCTCACCTAGCTTACATAGAAATTTTAGTGCCCTCTACCTCCTGTAATTTACCTCAGGTTAGCCAGCTGTTTAGTCAATCATCCTCGTCGTTGTAGTCATAGTTAGCATGTTATTGTTGTCGTTGTTGTTCTCATCTTTGTTAATGTGTTACTTAGCTTGTAATTTTCTAACCCTGGCGCGTTGCTGTTGTTCATGAAAGTGGTGAATGGTTTAGTATTTCTTGTAGTAGGTGCTTGACTTTGTACAGCAACAACAGTTGAGGGGGATTGCCACAACCTCAGTACATTGTTATTAGTGTAATAGTTTGTGTTTGATTTATGCAAGCCGCTGTAAGAGCGAGTGGAATTTCTCAGTTTTGTGTAACAAGAGTCGGTTTTTGTTTGTCATAATTCGCGGCTGAATCCAGATGGTTCATCGAGTTGCCATTCGGGTGAAGTACATTACTGTTAATTGACTTCACATTCGGGTTAAACTGAATCGAATCAATGCACTAGTTGTTTCCTTTTCTTATTCTTTAAATATAAACGGATGGATGAATCGAATTGAACCTTAGATTTGATCCCGATCAATTCAAAGGGTTAGTTTCACAGCAATTACGTCCTAATTATATTCTGATTACTGATGAGTAAAATTACACATAATAATCAGCTAAGTTCTGTTAACTATGATTTTGTGCCTAATTTTGTTTCATTCCAGGATGGCCCAATAGGCTCAGAAATTATATAGCTTAATTAAAATGCGGGCTGAGAAACCCGAGCCCATTAATCCGAGCCCATTTGCTTATGGGTAGGGTTTTAGGTTTCCCCCGACTCCGTTACATATACTGCTTCCTGGCTGTTGGTTTTTTGGCTGGCGGCTTCATATCTTCGAGCGAGAGAAAGAACAGGCGGAGAGTGACGAAAAGGGTTTTGCAGCAATGGCACCGAGGAAGACTCCCGTCGTTTCCAGGAACCCGCAGCTCATCAGGGGAGTTGGGAAGTACTCCAGGTCCAAGATGTACCACAAGCGTGGTCTCTGGGCGATCAAGGCCAAAAATGGCGGCGTTTTCCCCAAGCACGATCCTAAACCGAAGGCCGCCTCTACCGCGGAGAAGGTGTCGAAGTTTTACCCGGCCGACGATATCAAGGTGCCGCTTCCCAACAAGCGCAAGGCTAAACCCACCAAGCTCAGGTATTCTTTTCGGCTTTGACTGTTTGGATGTAAGAACTATTTAGGTCTCTCGGTCTGGTTTGCTGATTTTTAGTCGCGTTTAGATCTGCTTTATTTCATTTGTGTTTATCTTCGTGTTATGGAAATTTATCTGCGTTTCAATTCTGTTCAAGTTTCCGGCTTCAGTACTGCTAGTTGATTTTTGGGGTGTGTTCTCTGTAAAATGCGGTTTGCGGTTTATTTAACTATTTGCCTGCTTTGTGTAATGGGTTACTAAATTTGTTAAATTTCTCATTGGGTTTTGCTGTTGCAGGGCTAGCATTACTCCTGGGACTGTTCTGATTATCCTTGCTGGAAGGTTTAAGGGCAAGAGAGTTGTGTTCCTTAAGCAGCTAACTTCTGGGTTGCTTTTGGTCACTGGTCAGTACCTTCCGTTGCTGTTTTAGATTTTTTCTTTTGTCCAATTGCTTGTTGGTATATGAGATGGTATTGCTCCCTTTCATAGCTGCTAGGTTCTGTTTTCATTGCTGCTTGTTGTGAGTTTGTCAACTTTGTTCAGTATGGTTAGAATCATATGTTCAACTTTACTATATATGTTCAACAATGTGTATGAATTCCGGAGTGTTTATTAAGAGTGGAATTTGTATCCTTGATTGGGTGCTTTCGACTGGTTTCTTGTCTGTTGCATGTCATAGTACGTGTTTCTCTTTGGTGTATTGGTTTGATGTTGGCTTGTAACCTGTGTTGTGATCTTCTGCAGGCCCATTCAAGGTTAATGGTGTCCCTCTCAGGCGTGTGAACCAGGCCTATGTCGTTGGAACCTCTACCAAGGTTGATATCTCTGGTGTCAATGTTGACAAGTTCGATGACAAGTACTTTGCCAAGGCTGCGGAGAAGAAGAACAAGAAGGGAGAGGGAGAGTTCTTTGAGGCAGACAAAGAGGTAGCTAGCTTTCTAATTTATGTCCTCTCAACAAATGATGGTAGTTTCTTCATATAGTTCCTAATCTTGTTTTCTCCTTCTTAACAGGAGAAGAACGAGCTGCCTCAAGACAAGAAGGACGACCAGAAGACCGTTGATGCAGCATTGATTAAATCGATTGAGGCAGTACCAGATTTGAAGTCGTACTTGGCTGCCAGGTTCTCTTTGAAGGCTGGGATGAAGCCTCATGAGCTTGTGTTCTAAGCCAACGGTGTTTTAGAATCTATCTTTTGTTGTCAGCTGGAATTTTGGTTCGAGACATTTGTTCTGGAAAGGTTTGTACTTGAGAGTTTTGATTGTGTGATAGACGAGCTCCCTTTAAATCAAACAAGATAACTGGTTTTGCAAGGCACTCCACTTGTGTCATTGAATGGTACCTTTAGGTTTTATTCAATTCCTATTTTCTGGTTCTACTTCATCTTAGTTAGATTTCGTATGTAGTACTCAGTTATTGCAAGTATTATGGACCAGCTCTATCAAACTGTCGTGTTTTTTGAACGTTGACTATTCAACATATCGAAGAAACCCTTTAAAACTTGTTGGTCTTTCGTTGAATTTAGGCTTGATTGGAACCTTGAAGGTTCCAATTCTAAACGTTGTATTTTGAGTATACATGTATTTTTGGTTCGGAGAATGTTTATTTCATGTATAATTTGTGCATTCTTTTATGTTTTTTAAACCAAACATTTTTCAAACCAACATATTCTTAAATCTTAATATACACATTCTTCTAATACATCATTTCCGGAATCAAAGGTTCTAAACGACTCCTTAAAACATTTGGAGATACGTAGATGTCATGGATTGGATAAAATCAAGTTATATGATGTATCAATTGAGAAACTTTATGTCAGTTCATGCTAGTCTGATAGGAATTTTTCTTTGAGGAACCCTTTCGTTCTTGGTGGGCGTATCTTAAGCTATCCTTATCAATGAGTTTTAAATATAAAATATTTCATTCGGCTGAATCATTCACATGTGGTATTCGATGATGACAAAGAGATAAACACGAGTAATTTTAAAATAATACGAGGTAGAAATTATTTCAAATAACCCACTGTCCAAGTAACTAATCGGGATAAAGTATCGTCAAACTAATTGTTTAGATCCAAATAACTCATCCAAGTAACATCCCAAACAAGCTCATGAAGACTTGCATTTAGGGGTGTGTAATGGTCCGATTCAAGACCGGACCAAACCAAAATTTGGACCGAACCGAGTTGCATTGCTAATTATGAGGAGAAGAGAGGTTTTTGAATGATGAGGGGAAACTGGTCGAAAGAAGGTCAGGAAGTGGTGGAAACCGGAAAGATGGATAGGTTTTTTAAAAGAGGATATTGATATTTTCAACTTTCTGTTACAAAATAGGTTTAATTCACCTGCATAGTCATAACTTTCATGATTTTGAAAAATATAGCTACTTTTTGAAAAATATACAGATATAGCCAATTCCGTCCAATTCTTTGACGGATCACTTAACCCGCTGACTGGACTAACGGCAGCGGCTGATGTGGCGTGTTCTAATTTGCGTCCTTGCCACGTGGAAAACATTCATATTATTTTTAATTAATAAATAAAGAAATTAAAAAAAAGTGAAAAGGGAGAGAAAAATCAATCACTTTCCTCGCAAAACCCTTCCCTCTTCCTGGTTTTCTTTCTCGTTTCTTCCTCTCCGCCGTCATCATCAGCAAACTCGAAGGATGAGGAGGAGCCGCGACATGGATCTGGTTCTCTAATCTTTTCAACGGCCATTGAAAATCCCAAAATATCAAATCACATCCTTTCACAACTGATTTACCCTATTCTGTCGAGCTTCCCCTGAATCGCACTAACGAGAAACAAGCCCAGAGCAGAGTAAATTAGAGCCATCAGAGAAATATTCAGAGAATTGGGGGAGATTGGGTTTCGAGAGATCGACTAAAGATAGAGTGAGAGCCAACCCTCCCAACAATCCCTCATCCACCTGATTTACTTGTCTCCCTCTCTAATGACTATGCTCCTCTCCCTCTCCCCCGATTTGTCTATCCCTCTCCCCAATTTCGAGATGTTGGGTACCAATCTAGGTGGTCGGATCCTGAGATTAGGGTATGGGAAGGAAGAAAAGGAGGAAAATACAGATGTTGACGGCGGTGTTGGTGGTGGCCACAACCGTATCAGTGGTGGGGATGAGGAGTTGGAGAGCGAGGAGAGGAGGGAGAGACGGGAGAGAATGGGGTTGGGGAGAACAACGACATCAACAATAGAAAAGGACAGATCGAGGATTTAGGGATGATGTGAATGCATTGGAGAGGGCGGAGATTTATTCGATTGGGTGGTCGAAGTTCTAATTGGGGCGAGGTCATCGAGCTACATCTTAGACCTTCCACGGGCGGCTCATCTTCATCGAGCTTCGTCTGCAGGAAGAAAAGGGGGAAAGATGAACAAAGTCGGAGACGAACCCAGTTTCAAACTTGTCAAAATCAAATATGGGATGAAGATTTGGAGATCAATTAAGATTTATTGAGGTTATCAAGAGATCACCTTAGCAAAACTTCGGATTTGATTTGAGTGCAGTGGAGAAGCTCTGGTGGCGTCGACGGGGGACGATGAGGCCGCCGATGGGGAAGGGAAAAGATGGAAGAAGGAGAGCTTGAGGAGGAAAGAGAAAAAAGAAAGATAAAATTTTAATTTAATTTAAATATGATGTGGCAGTTAGGTGGCATGATTTGGTGTGTTGGAGCTGATGTGGAAGCTCAGGTACCATCCGCGTCAGTGTCATGTTAACGGTGTTAAAACTTTTAACGGAAATGGTTAATTATGTCGAACGAGTTTTCAAAATGTGGCTATATCAGTGTATTTTTCAAAAAGTGACTATATTTGTCAAAATCGTGAAAGTTATTGCTACGCAGGTGAATTAAACCTAAAAAATATTACATTACAAGTAACGTTTCAGCCAAAAACGCAGTATTTAAAGTTAAAATTACTTCTAAAAAAAAAAAAGAAGTTAAAATTACGAGACAAATATTACTTTAACCAAGTCATTGGCTTCAGTTAATAGGTGTGCAAAACTATCCACGTATGAGTATGACTTTAGAAGACTGTTCTTGGTGTGCCATGGTCGATAACTTAGAAAATGACCTTAAAAGCTTTCTAATAACCAACTAGTTTTGTTCTCGACTAGTTAGTCATTTGGTGTGATGTAAATTATTAGAAATTATAAAACCTATGTTCATGTCATTAGATCCATTCTAAATTCTTACAAATTTTGATTCAATATAGATTTTGTTGGTGAAGTGAAAATATAGAAAACAAAAAATAGAAATAACGTTTAAAACATTTGATAATATGATAGTAAAATTTTGTCATAGTAATTAATATAATTTATGAAGTTTATTTGATTACTTTTGCAATTAATATCATAAAATAGAGTTTGTCTTAGTGATTAAGAACTTCAGATTATAGATATAGATAGATAGACTATCGAATAGAGAAAATTAGTTTGAATAAGACATGAACAACGTCAAACATTTGTGTGAACTTCAAAATAAAAGTTTCATGTTTGACTTATGTATATAATGGTTGTAAGCATATAGTATGCAGTTTTATTGAATTAACTTATTATACTCGTATTCTTCATCATAATTCATAGTATCTTAAACTTCTGGACAAAAATAGACTACTTCTGAATTTCTAGCTATGCACATATGTAAAAATCTCGAAAATTTTCTAAATGAGTTTAGCAGTTTCACATATACCTTTTATGAAGTTGAGTTGGATGGTAGCCTCCCTTGTTTTTTCCCCCCACAGTATTCTCTATTCTTGAAGGCTTGGTTGTATTATGTTAATGAGTCTCTTGGATATTTGCGCTATGATGCCATCTTATGGGCAAAAGGTTTTAGTTGTATTGATGTTAGAATCACTCTATCAATGTCAATCATAAAAGATTCGGAAGGCAGAGAAAGTTACCTTATCATCAATGAAGATGATGTCCAGTCGCATCGTGTTGAATAATTTTTGTTTGAAGAGGAGTTGTGTTGGTTGATTTTTGTTAGAATTCTTTGAATTAGCCATGACGGCATCATCGTTGTTGAAGATTGGATGGGGAACCGGTGATTTTGGATGGGAAATTGGGGATGAGGATGGGCGCAAGGTTTGTGAAATCGTATCGGATATCATATCGGAAAAGTCAGTAGTATGATATTTTATGGTGAAATTGTGGTTTAATTTTAGTTCAATCGTTATATTGTTAAATACCATTCACCGATTTAGCCATTATACAAGAATTTTGTGGTTCAACATCTGATACGGTACTGTTTCATAAACCATGGATGCACCATGGTGTGGTTATTATTGTCTGAAGTGTTTTTATTTTTTTTTTGCTGCAGCTTTGGTTTTTTTCCTGGATATTAGGCGGACTGTTTTGGGTTGGGTCTTATCCATAAGTTGAGACATTGATTGGTTTAGTGGGGTTAAGCCTTCCACATAAGTTTGGGCCAACTGTACTTGCTTTATCTATTGGGCCTTAGCGGGGTGTAGGCCGTTGGCGATAATTATTTTAGCAATCGAAGGAAAGAGAAAGATGCGCAGGGTTGGGGGAAGGGTATTCGTATTTATAATTTAAAAAAAAAATATAAATGTAACCAAAAAATAAATTTGACGGATTATGGGGTTTAGTTGGTAATTTCCAGGCTGAAACCCGTCATTACACCTCGCGTGCGCGCCTCCTCTCTTCTTCCCCTTCTCCGTTCTTACTCTCGGATTCCAATTTCCAATTCCGTTCTTTCTTTCTTGTTCTTGTACCTCCAAATCTGCTACAATGGCGACTCGAGAGTTGATCCTCTCTTTGTCTTACAGAGCTGCGGCAACGGAAGCACATCTCGAGGCGCTCAGCAACAGTCTTACGGCGATCGCCGATCGATTGACGACGATAGGCGACATGACGCGCCAGTGCTCCACTCTCCTTAACGAACTTCAAGATCGGAGCACCGCTCTCATCACCAAGGCGGACGGTCACTCCTCCGATTTAGCTGGGATAAAAGTGCGTCTGGACGGCATCGCTCCGTCGCGGTTGACTGAGCGAGGCAGGGAGAATGTCGCCGCGGATGTGATTCTGCCGGTGGTTGCCGACGGTAGCTCGCTCCGTCGCGAGAATCGTCAGGTTGATTTTCCATCTGGTCCGCCTGTCCTTCCACTCCTCACCACCACTGCTCCCTCCGATGCGACTCTTCACTCGTCCAGTCCAAGTCGAGAGGATTTCAGCACTTCTTCGCCTGCTTCGCAGCGGACTAGCAAGCGCCGTCGCGAGAATCGTCAGGTTGATTTTCCATCTGGTCCGCCATTCCTTCCACTCCTCACCACCACTGCTCCCTCCGATGCGACTCTTCACTCGTCCAGTCCAAGTCCAGAGGATTCCAGCACTTCTTCGCCTGCTTCGCAGCGGACTAGCAAGCGCCGTCGTCGGACCTCCACCCCCAGCAACAAGAGAGTGCTGGGGAAGCGGCATCCGATGGACCTTATACTTCCGGCTGGTCACCGAGCACTGCTACCTGATGGTCTTGGAAAAGCTTTCCCTCGTACCAGGATTTTTCTCAGGGACCTTATAAATTGGATGATTGCTGGAGAGAGCTTGGAGTTGGACGTGGATAAACGGACGGTTCAGGAAATTGATCATTTGAGTAAGGTTCTGCGAAGGCAGAAAGTGATTGTGGTGGCTAGTAATGAAGAGGTGGAAGGTTTGAAGTATTTGCGAGCAGAAGGATTCAATGGCCTGATCAGAATCAGGCCAAAGCATTGCTCTACAGCTGAGATCGGGGATTTGCAGAGACGGATTAGAGCGCTCGGTCTTCAGGTGAAACCCTTAATCTTGTGCACTGGTATTCTTGGTATGCTGGAGAATATTATGGCTATACTTGGTTCTTGTTGCTGCTTATTCCCTTTGTACGTTAAGAAATAGCTATGTGGTTATGATAATGTTATCCTACCTATCAGATTGTGTACTGTGCTGTTTAGAAAGATTGGGTTTGGCTAACAGGTCCTTTACTGTTCTGTAGATCAGATAGTCTTTCCTATGATTGTTTGAGGTATATGAGTGTTTTGTTTGTGCTAGCTCGAGTGTGTTCCAGGTCCAGTTCCTATCAGGTGGTGTGTTACTATTTCCAGTATCCACCTTTAATCATTCATGAAAAACGACCTCAGTGTGGTGAATATGTTTAGGTGGAAATTGAGGTCCTCTTGTGTGAGGTCCTCTTGTTGTTTTGGTCAACATGCCGGGAATAGAGTGGAGTTGGGTGGTCTGGAAGAAGATGAAAATCCTGTCCTTGGATCTTACGGTGATGAATACCGCTTGTTTGATAGAGATGAAGTAAGATGTTGTTTGTTGACAGTTGATGACCTATGCCGATGTTCTTCACGTATATGTGAAAGACCTTCAAGTGATACCCTGTTGTAATAATTTGCATATCCTTCTGCTTGTTGAATTTGTTGTATAGAGCTTAGGGTGCAGATTATGCGAATAATAGGATCTTTAACCAAAATCTTATCTTTTCCTATTTATTTGACCTGTGTACACTGGTATTTCCCTTGGTAACCATGAAGCAGCTGATATTTATTTGTTTATTTTAGTTGACCCTTTTTAGAACTTTTTGGTGGATATCACTTTTTGAGTGTTGGTTTGTTTTCTGAAACTTGTTTACTGTAGCTACCAGTTTTGGTCTAGATTTGCTAGGACCATAAGCTGGCACATTGAACTTCATCAAGCCTAAGCATGAGTACCTAATCCAAACAATGGAAATGCCGTCAGTAATAGACATTCTTTGTGTAGAGAATATGTTTAGGCCTGAATATTTGTGAATGCACTTCTGCAGCTTGCTTCTGGAGGGCCTCGTTGGGAGCGGAGATGAAATGCTTGGGCTTGTTGATGCTTTGTCCTTGTGCTGAAATGCTTTTCCTTGCAGAGTGGAGATGTGAGCCTTGCTTGGTTCCTTCTTGATAGCCTTGATGGGGTATAAGTGATATCACTGTGATTTGTTTGGACGGGGACATCTGAACTTCTTATAGTTTGTTAGAGAGTAGTACTTGATACATGACGGTAAATAGTTTGCAGCAATGACGAGCTGAAGTTTGAATGACTGTTGGATATGTAGTTGTAGTTTCCTAGTTTCCTGCAGAAATGCTTCCAGCCTTGGTTTGAGAAATTGAATCATCCAGTGCAAATGTAATAGACTTTTCTGTGACAGGTTTATCCTATCTGTACTCATCTTCCACCTTGTGCGATAGAGCTATTTCTTATTGCTTCATGTAGTTTTGGCCATGTGACTCGAGTTGAGAGGCTAAAGAGTAACTGCAACTCTGCATCAACTCCTTATCTATTAGGAAACTGAACATCCAGAGACCATCTATTTGGGTGAAATTGCAAGAAGTCAGGCTGACTGACTTCAGAAAAGTCACAGACGGGAATGTACAAGCAGCTCTGTTTTCTAAACTGAACCAGATGCTGAACCACAAAAATTAGTGGTTAATAGTTCAACGATTAACCGTTATAGAACCGTTGGTTAACCGATGATACAATCCTTCATACGCTATATAATACACTAATTTAGGCCATGTATTTATCACTAATTATAAACCGTTTCAAATCCATATCATCTATCACCCAAGGTTCTAACAAATCATTCAAACTATTTCAAAAAAGAAAGAATAAATTCGTTTATTAAATTCAAGTTAATAATTAGGGTGGCATCCCGCAGTGGATCACATAAAGCCGACCAGGAGGCCGGGAAACAAAGAAAATAAAGCAGAAATTGAATTAGTTCAAGTTGTGGTTAAAATACTCAACCAACAGACCAATCAAACTAAAGTGATTCACCTGGTTTTATGTCAAACCGTTACAAATCATTCGGTCCATCCCTTGCCGTCAAAATAAAATGAACCTGAGCGTTATTGTAACTTGTTTGGTGATTCTATTGGCCCAGCCGTTGATTCGGTTCGGTTCTTATAACAATGTCAAGCAGGGAATAGATTTTAGAGTCATCATCAAATCGCAACAAATATATAAAAGACTTTGGTTATACTTATACATAAGATTACATGAGAAACATAACTTCTCTTTATGGTTGCAAGATAATGAACAAGAAGTAATTATTGTTGGATTACAAGCAAGTAAATAACAATAACCCAAAATTATTAACTTGACCAATCCAAGTTGTGAATGCAGCATGGTACAGTTTCTTTGAATTACTAAACGATGATCAACTGAATATGGGCTGGTATGATCCCTTCAAGCCACTCCTTGGCATGTCGCCTTACATAGTCTTCTACCTCGTGAATCTCCTCCCTTCTTCCAAAAAAAGCATCCACAGATGGCCAATTGGGCTGATAATTCAGGTCAATGATGATGGTATGCAGTGCTGCAGCATTTTCTATAATACAAGAGATAAACTCATCCTCAGTTGCACGGCCTCGATACCCTGCCAGTTTCAAAACATTTAGGTGCGCAAGGTCAAGGCAACTCTTGACCTTCACAAACTTCCTACTTTTTCGATCTTCCACTGTCCGCTCTTCCAATGATGTTCCTTTGAGAACCTGCAGATGAACATACTATCTCTTTTAACAGACCTCCAACCATACATATGCTCTCTTTCTTCACACTCATGAGAAAATGGTTACATGCATCAGCTATACAAGCAGACTCCCATGCTTGCCTACTACAAATGAAACAAGCTCGTTCCATTCTACAACATCAAATGCACATATTAACAATCATCTAAGTAATGATACCTAAATGTTCAGATTTCTCTCCAAGTCATCATAGGCATAGTGCATCAAATTTGCTCCCCAAAGAAACAGACAATTGAAATGAAAGAACCCTAAGATCATCATCTATGCGGCAGAATAACTCAAATGCACAGATACCTCCCAAGATGCATTCAAATTAAAGGTAAGAGACGGTCCCAATCAAAAAATAAATACTTCTAAAGACTAGAGTATAGAATCTAACCCGTATTGCAATCTTTCGCAAGTAAGGGGATCCTTCAATAATTGGCAATAGCATAAGAAGATCATCATTCAGCCCCACAGTATGTGCTATTTCCAATTCTAGGAGATTACTTAATTTGTAGATTGGTTGAATCTCCTCATCATTCTGCAGAAAATCATCTGAGCTTAGGTCCCAATTCAAAACTGAAACAAGAAAGCCAAATCAAACTAGAAACCAGTTGAAACACTAACCAGACGTATATGATAAGCAATTATACTCAAACACTCCAGCTGGCCAAGATATGAAGAGAACGCATGAAACTCATTTGCCAACTTCAAAAAGGTTGATAAAGAAAGCTCAACCAAGTGTGGAAGGTTCCTCATGAAAAGATCCCCTGCAAACGAAAACCGCTTGAATGAAACTATTGAAGCATCATACAACTCGATTTTTGTCAACTCTTCGCAGTGCTCTATCTCCAAATGCTTCAACCTCAAGGATGGACCAACAACTCTTACATACTCCAAGTCATCCACGTGCTGTAGTGTCAGTATTTCAAGAACCGGACAATTTACCAGAATACCATCTAGAACATCCCCACACATACTGACAGATCTCAAACATAGAGAGGTGAGCGACTTAAACTGACGGAGTGACCACCTGTAAACTGGAGTCGATGAACCATGAGGTGTAGACTGGTTCAGAGCTCTTACTCCAAAAGTATACAACTGTTTATGATACGCGTTGCTATTACATACTTCATGTGGACCATTGAAGTTCAACTCCAGCTTCTTGACTTGCTTAGATAAAGCAAATTTGACACACCAATCAACAAAACGCTTATGCTTCTTGGTCAATCCAAGCTGAAGTCTGAACTCCTCCAAGCTGTTGCCTTTGTACAATCGCACTACCTTACTAACACGTCTTACATATTTGTATGTTAAGCGTACTGGTAAGTGATTACGTAACCTAACTGGGAAGAATAATGCATTGAAGTCTAGACGAGGAACAGACGCCCACAAGTACCTCCATCGAGTAGAAAGGAAACTAGTAACAGCACTTTCATGGATCGTTAGGAAAGACAATATAAGAAGGATGACTTCATCCGGCAGCACACTGATTCGATCATCTGGATTATAGCAACCCAAATTACTGGACCCTCCCTGCAAAACCCAAAAATCGCTGACTAAACTATTCTCTCGATCTGATCTGTCCAAAAGACAAATAAATTTATGCAAAGCACAGCAGAGTAGGAAACAGCAAAGTAGCCAGAGAATGAAGTAACTTAGTAGATTACGACTAATGTTCTTCATGCATCAGATTGAACTACAAATCTACTCCAAGTTCAATTTCCATTAAGTCAAACATAATATAAATAATAGAAAACTGAATTACAGAGACAAGAGAAGAATCAATAAAGATAGAGCAACACCTTTCTCTGTATCTTCAAAAGGTCCACACTTTGCTGGGAAGAAGAATCAGAGCCGATGACATTTCTATTTCTCTTGGCAAACTTGACACTGTGTGTGGAAGTAGAAGCAGAACCGGGGACCTTTCTCTTCCTCTTGGATAGTATTATTGAGCTCCGCATCCCAAAAGAATAAGCAATAAAGTTAGGTCCTTCGGTGGACTGACTGTTAGGAGAACAGAGAGTTGCAGAGAATGGAGTTGAAGATCCAACTCCCGAACCTTCTGCCATAAAACAAAAAACAGAGAGACAAAGTCAGAACGAAGCTAACCCACCAAAAGATCCAAACTTTCAGCTGATAGAAAAAATTATGAACCCTTTCACGCCTGCGAAGGACCGGTCAGGGAGAGTGGTTGGGGCGTGAGAGAAAACCATCAAGATAAGAAAACTCATGGCTGAACGCATACCTCTTCTGTTCGAATTAGATTCGGATTCTGAGCAGAAGACTTCGTGGTGGTTTCCGAGGCGCCCCTTTATATCCTTCCGGCTATCGATTATTCATTCCCTTGTCCTCGGCGGATTCAGTTCCAGGCTTCAACCTACTTTGAAACGCTGAATGTGAATGTAGAAGAACTTCTGCGTACTCAAACCAGTTTTGTACTTGGCCATTGGTTTTTGTATTTAATAAAATTAACCGTGTAGCCCCCTGGCATTTGAGGAATTAATCTGACAAGTGCTTCAACTCTTTCTATTTACCGAAATCCCATCTGTCTTTTCTTTAAATTCAAACAGGTACTATTTACTTCCCTGCTACTGGTCTGGGAGAGAAGTGTACTGGACTGGAAGGATAGAGTCAACAACAAACCAAAGAGCGAACCATTTGTGTTTCCTACTTGCTTGTAGAAACGCATCCAGCAATGCATTGAGATATGAATCATCCTGTCCTGTGCGAGTAATAAATAGACTTCTCTGTAATAGCTTCAACCAGTACTCGTATTCAGCCTTGTGCTCTAGGTTGATGTAAGAAGCAGATTAGGAGTCTCGGTGCTATTTCATGTAGTTGTGGCCATATTGACTTGTAAGTGGTTGATTTTAGCTCACAAAATATTATATAGGTGACAGAGCATTGAAGTTTAAGTTATGAGGCTAAAGATGAAGCAACTGCAAAGTTGCTGCAGGTACCAGGTAGCATCAACATCTCATCTATTAGGACACTGACTGAACAATCAGAGACCACCTATTCATATGAAATTGCACAACTGTTTTCTGTGGAGATGCTACTTTCCACGAGGAAGCTACTGCTGACTGGAACTCAGAAAAGAGCGATATCAACTACTGATGAATGTATAAGGAAGCAGTAGATTAAGAGTGTTCTTGAACAAATTTATGAAAGCTTTTGGTTATACATAAGATTATACAAGGTAACTTCTCGTTGTGGTTCCGAGAACATGAAGTCATTATTGAAGGTTAAGGGGTTAGGGTAATAGATTGATTTGTTATGATTCTATGTCATATCATCATATTAGATTGAGAGTACCAATTAAAGTTCAAAATTTGATGTATTATGGACACTTTTAAACAGTGCATCCAAAAAAGTGAGTGCACCGAAGTAGCCACCTATGTTTAATAAACCAAACCATAGACTACAACAATAGTATACAATGCTCTAAGGCTATTACAGAGTAGTCCTTGAACTAGTACCATAACACATTTCACAACAGCAATTTTGTTATACATAAGTCCATTATTTGAGCACATAACAATAAACAAATAACATAAGGCACAACATAATTAACTTGACTGATCTAAGTTGTGCTATGATTAATTTGAATCATTAGGTGATGATCAACTGAATTCTGGGAGGTATGATCTCTTCAAGCCACTTCTTAGCATGCTGCCTCACATAATTTTCGATCTTGTCAATCTCCCTTGGTCTTCCATAACAAGCATCCACATCCGGAAAATTAGGTTGATAATTCAGGTCGATAATGATTGTCTCAAGTCCTGT